GTGTTGGCCTGCTTCTCAACAACTGACAGACAACCTATGATCAGAGAGGGTAAATCAGGGTTTCCTCGCCTGCAGTTTACCTCTCACTTTGCCTCCCACAATTATTTCTGTTGGTTGAAGGGTTGGTTGGTGAGGTGAGAATGCTTCTGTGTCTCCCAAACCAGCAACTCGAAGCTAGATTTCTGGTTTGGAGGGAGGCTCGATGTGGAAATACAGGGATCTCCGCGTGATTTGGCGCAGCGATTGGAGCATGTGTTGAGTTTCCCGCCTGCGCCCCGCCAAGTCAAGCTCTCACGCTCTACCGAGCTCCGTGGCTGGCCCTCAAAATGCCCAACGGCCAGCGATAGACAGGTTCGGAACCGTTCGGCTGACATGGGCCTTGGGGACCCCAACGCCACCTCACCAGGAAGAAAGTCCGAAGCTGAAATGATTCACTATTGATAAGATCAGCACCACTCTTACATCTAACCAGAAGTACATGAACCATATCCTAAGATTCTCCTTGATTTCATTCCTTTCCTGCTTTCACTAGAAGATCGTGCAAATCTTCCTCTGTAAAATCCACCACCTCTGCACAAAACTCGCACCGAACCTCCACCGACCCTGCACCACCACGAAAAAACAAAATAAGGGACTTCAAATCTGATGGATTGACCAAAGCAATCCCAAACTTGATTGCCAATCATTACTCCAATAACGAGGAGCTTGAGATTAACATGACACACCAGATTATTTCATCCACTCACCTCTTTCCTCAATAAGTTTCTTCACGTCCTCGGCTCCTAGTGACTCCACAGCTCTAAGCATGCGAGGCTTCAAGTCTTCCAGACCACATGGGCCAAACGTAGGCACAATCTGTATGAGAGGGGACGGGAGGAGAGGAGAATAGACTGAGTGCGTTTCTCAACGATTGCCAGTGATAACAACAGGCTGACCATCACATGCTGCACTGCATCCAGTATACGAGTGACATGCCCAACCAGCATTGCAGACAAATTATAAGGCAATATCAAACCACACCATGCCAAGCACAAGGTCCGGACATACCGGATCTATGACAGGTTCGGGATCCAACCCCTGCAAGAGATAGTGAGCAATGGTCCCTGCATCCATGCGCTGCACCGCATCTGACATGGCGCCCAGTGATTGGACGTTGGCCTCTAGCTTGTCTAGCGTCTCGTCCGAGCAGAAGGGAAGGACCTGGAGAGAGGTGCCAAGGTGTAAGACAACGACCAAGCCAGAAGGATGAGACGCCATGCAGAGTTCATGGAACAGGAGAATAAGTGTATCTAATACTGAGAAAAGAGAGGATGATTGAAAAGGAAGAAGGTGCTCAGAAAGCACTTCATTCATGGCACTGAAGAGAAAATACGTGGGCAGCAGTGCTTGAACAAGGACCCGCCTGCCGCCCTCACAATGTCTTGATGAGTTGGCGCACAAAGCCACAGGTGACAAACAACTCGTTAGGCGTCGAGCCAGCCACTCACCTGAACAAGGAACCCTCCTGCCGCCCTGACAATGCCATCCTTGCCCACCGCCACACCCAGCCCCATAGCTGAGTTGATCTGCTCACTCTCCGCCAGGTAGTTTGCCAAATCCTCTGCGATCTCCCCTGACACCAGAGGCACAGTGCCACTGAATGTGGCATTGCGTGAAAAGATGGATGGGAACAGCGATTGGGGAAGAAGAGCTGGGTTGGATCGCTAACTCTCCGCCAAATAGTCTGCCCTGACAACAGGGGGCAGTGCTCATAGTTAAAAAAATCCAGAAAGCATAAAGTGGCAGCAGGTGAATAGCGGCTGCTAATGTTATAAAATACAACCTACTAATCCTTTTGCGGTTTCCAATAACAGAGTGCTGCTGCTTGTGGAGGAATGTGGAGAGATGGAAAGGGATGAATGGTAAAAGCGTGTGGCCAGAGCTGTACCAAGTCAAGCAGGGCTTATACCTTCATATCAAGGTTCATACCTTCATATTGAGCCGCATACCATAAAACCAATACCCATCCCGTCCTAAGGCTCATCATATCAAGGTGAAATTGATGAACCAACACCATGTTCTTTATTCACTAATAAGGCTCACGTGTAAGGCGACTGCCAGGAGGGATGGGTTCGAATGACGCTAAGCACTCCCTTGCCCACTGCACCCCCCACGTCCATCTGGCCATGGAAAGAGGAAAGCAGAGAAACAGGGACACGCATTGAAGCACGAAACGGGGACCGAGAAATCAGAAGAAGTCCCAAACAGACAAATGCACTTGTTCATCGCATTTCATGTATTTGAGTTGCCTACCTTGCCCTTGGAGTTGAGAGGCGGGTCGGCCAGCGGATTAACGGCAAACCCTTTCACCTCCCCGTGCAGTGCTGAAACAGCTGTGATCTGCCCAATGGGCCCCCGGCCGTTCACTGTGACTTGCACGGATTCGTCTGGTCCCTTCATGGCTCCCAGTAGCAGCGTCCCCATCAACAGCCGCCCCAGTGCTGCCACAGCCTGTGATAGGGGCGGACATGAAGGAAAGAATATGAGTGGCAGGAAAATATAGCTCTCTCTCCTTGACGTAGCAGGCAGATATTGCCAGTGCTTCCCTGGTAAGTGTTCCCACCTGGCGAACTCACGGAAAGGATGAAAGGAATGACTGTGACTGGGCTGGTGCCTTGACTCTGACTAAAGATCACAGCTGCGGCTGCAGGAAGCAAAGAAGTGATGTCCGTCTCACCGTGGGGGCCATGCCGTGCCGCGCCTGAGCCTCTTTGACCAGATCAGTAGCCGCCACCACCATCACAGACACCTGCCAATGCGGACCAGAGGGTCGATGCGGTTGACGAATCATGCGTGGATGGGGTCACAGAATAACAGGTTAATAAGAAACGCCTGATAGGACAGAGTTCGAGGCCCAACATTGGTTTTCTTTCGCCTGCAAAAGTGTTGCTATCAGTTGAGACGTTTTATTGATTCATTTTAATTTCCGAGTCCTTATTCAACCGCCGTACCTCCGCATTGCCTGAGATGAATTTGACAAGCTCGTCTTTAGTAGCGTAACGTGCTGGTACCTCCGCGACACTAGCAGTCATGATTCGAGTTCTAAGTCGACTCAAAACTCACCTCCGCATTGCCTGCGATGAATTTGACCATCTCGTCTTTGGTAGCGTGGCGCGCTGGTACCTCCGCCACACCAGCTGCAGAGTTATGGCTCTCACTGCCCGTGTGATCGCCGTCGGATTGGCTAGCGCTGACGTGGACAGCGACACGGCGGAGGTCTGGACGGTAAAGGTGGGATCGGCGGGATTGACGGCCAGTTTGATAAGAGATCCGCGGATTTCTAGTTGCCATCAATCGAAGCGGAGTTCGTCCAAGGCTGCTGCTGCTGCTAATGGCGACGTCTCTCGCTTCTGCTGATGGTCGGAGAGAGGTTCTAAGTGGTAGCGTACTAAGGTGTGCGTGGACTTGCGGGACTGCAAGGACCTCCATTGCAACTGGCACTATCAGAGAGGTCGCTAACCTTTTGAGGCGCCTGAAAGGTCGCTAACCACAACGGACCACCTCAGACTTCGTAGACCAGCAAAGAGGTATCTGGCCAAATTGCACCTTGACAACAAAGCCGAAACGTATGTCACCGGCAAGCAATCTTGTCAGTGAAGGGAAAGCGTGGCGTGCGTTTGACCCTGTAATGGACAGAACCACGGTGATCCGACTGGAAGTGAGGGATTTATGAGAAACACACAGCAAGAGAAAGTAGGAGTAAACTGCCTTGAAGTTGTCGAGAACAATCTCGATTCTCAAGGGTAGTGTTCGGTTCGGCTTTTTTGGGCTCGGTGAGAACGGATGCAAAGCTTCTAAACCGTAATCGAGACACGCATAACCGAACCGAACCTTCTTTTGAGTAGTGCTGCTTTGCTTGGAGAAAGATGGCCTGAAGTACTTTCACGTGGCACGTTGTCGCTGCTCCGCGTGGAGTCTCCACGCAGGCAGCTTTTCTAGTTTCGCAGGATACAGAGCTACTCGATTCAGTATAGAAGGCGTAACAGTGGAATGTAATACTAAACAATAATTATCCTGCAAAGAAATTGGTCACAAGCAACACTTTTCCCGTCAGGCCCAGTAGACAGGCAACCAGTTCACTTTATCGTCTCATTATCATACTTCCTTCGTGACTCCCAATCACCACCGTATGCTTGCCTGTTATTGTTGTTCGTTTTTCCGGCATACACGGAAGCCGTTCGTCAATTGCATTCTCACATTAATGACCGCGTTTCCGCATCTCAGTCCATATTCGTTGCCCCCTGATTGGCGCTCCGCTTCACTTAGTGCGATTCTGGCCATTCATCCCAGAGGCCTCGGAATTTCGATTTCGTACACAGGCTCAAACATCAGTAACCGTTTAGTTCGAGCCGCAATCTCCATGAAATCGTTCTATGTTGCTACGAGCTCGAAGCATTCCCTAGGCATGTCTGGTATAATTCACTCAGTTTCTCGTCTAATTATTTCTCCGGGCGCTAGCAAGCGTTCAGACACGAACAGTGGAAACGTCTTCAGCGTTCCGCACACGCCTCTAAGCAGACACGTCATCACGAGCCGGTTCGCCAGTCAGAATCCAACACGTTGCATCGGAAGCTGCGTCTCCGCTCGGTCGCTTGGTGTAAGAAATGCGGCGTCGCACGGTAGCACGCAATGCACAACAGAATCTACCAACGACGTGACAATAACGGGCGAAGCCTTGGACCCGGTGACGCTGCCTCGGAATGTGGCAATAACGGGGGAATGTGTAGACGCTGCATCAAACCTTTCCCGAACGGAACCTCAGAATGTGACAATAGCGGAGGAGGCTGTAGACGGCGTGGTACCTCGGAATCAAGCCAAATCCCGGCTAGATGCGTTTCTGGCAGCACAGGGGGAGCGGATCAGCCGTGCCAGGTGGCAGGACGCCATTCGGCAAGGGAAAGTGCTGGTGAATGGCAGTGTCCAGAAGAAGGTGAGAAGCAGGGACGGTGTAGCAGGGTGCAATGGCAGTCTCGCTTTCTCCTCTCACCCTTCCATCTCCCATCTCTTCTCTGTCGCCGCATCCCCATTCGTCCCCTCCCCATTCCTCCCCCCTCATTCGTCTCCTCGTCCAGCCGTCGTATGCAGTGAGGGAGGGCGACAGGGTGCAGGGGAGTCTCGCCCCACCACAGTCGCAGCACGCATTGGAGCCATCAGCCATTGCCCTGCACGTGGTGCATGAGGATGACCACGTGGTCGTGATCAACAAGGCTCCGCACATGGTACGTGGTCTCTCTTCCTTCCGTTCGCTACGCCCCAGTCACAGCACGCGTTGGAGCCATCCGCCATTGCCCTGCACGTGGTGTATGAGGATGACCACGTGGTAGTGATCAACAAGGCTCCGCACATGGTAAGTGTCTCGGTATCCTTTTTTTTTTTTTTTTCCCTTTCTTTTTGTGGGTTCTTTTCCCCTATTGGTTGCGTTGCACTGTGACGCAAGGAAGAATTTCTCTCCATCCATTGTGCTGAATGTGTCATGGCATCTCATTGCCAAATGCTTTTGTTTTTGTTTTCCTTTCTTTACCTTTCCTGTTCTAGGATGTGTATTGGTTATCCAATAACCCTATTCACCCTCGTGGCACCTCGCTTTCTGCTACCTGTCTGATTGTCCCGAATTGTCCCCTCTGATCTCATGCACCCCTCTCCTATCCTCCTCTCGTGCGCCACCCTCCCCTCCAGAGCATGTGGTGCATCCCGCTGCAGGCAATTCGCAAGGCACTCTCGTGAACGCACCTGTGATTCTTCAGGGGCGGTAATAATTTCCTCGCTGTCTTCTATCTACCCTGACTGACCGCCCCCACATTGTCCCTTGGCACCCCTCTCCTCCAGAGCAGGTGGTGCATCCCGCTGCAGGCAACTGGCAAGGCACCCTCGTGAACGCGCTGCTCCACATCTGGTGGTGCATTCGACTTATGAGGCGCCTCAAAAACCTCGGACTGCCCCCACATTGTCCCTTTTCGTGCCTCTCATGCGCCCCTCTCCTCCAGAGCAGGTGGTGCATCCCGCTGCAGGCAACTGGCAAGGCACCCTCGTGAACGCACTGCTCCACCATTACCAGCTCTCCTCCTCCTCCTCCTCCTCCTCCTCCTCCTCCTCCTCCTCCTCCTCCTCCTCCTCCTCCTCCTCCTCCTCCTCCTCCTCCTCCTCCTCCTCCTCCTCCGCATGCTCTACGACCCAGTCACATTTTATGATAGGAGTGGGGGAGAGGGTAAGGGACTCTCAGCCTTCTGTAACAGCAGATTGGAATGAGGAAGAGGATGAGGAGGAGGATGAGGACGTGGAGGAAGAGGAAGAAGAGGAGGAGGGAGAGGAGGTGAAGGAGAGGCAGGGAGCAGAGGTGGGAGTCGAAGCAAGCCTTACAAGGGGGGCGGATGTGCGGCCTGGGATAGTGCATCGGTTGGACAAGGGAACGAGCGGGCTGCTTGTGGTAGCCAAGGTGAGATGAGGGAAAGGGGGAGATGGCTTGGCCTGGGTTGTGAGATGACAGGCGATGGGAGGCGAGGTGGGGGAGGGGGAGGGAAGGACTTATGCTGGGCTGTGGGCTGGGATAGTGCATCGGCTGGACAGAGGGAATGAGCGGGCTGCTTGTGGTGGCCAAGGTGAGGCGAGGGAGAGGGGAGACAGCCTGGCCTGGCCTGGGCTGTGAGAGTGAGATAGTGGCCCGGGCTGGGCTGTGGGCTGGAATAGTGCATCGGCTGGTCAAGGGAACGAGCAGGCTGCTTGTGATGGCCAAGGTGAGGCGAGCGGAGGGAGGCTGGGTGCAGCACCATGGCATCACTCTTACGCGCATTCTTCCCCATCCCTCACCTCCTCGCCTCCTCCTCATCTCACCACCCATCAATCCCCATCCGCCAGCGCCAGGACCCGTTCAGCCAGGCTCACCTGAGTGCGCAGTTCAAGGCACGCACCGTGCACAGGAGCTACCTCTCCTCACTTTTCACTTCTCCGCACCACGCACCTATTTTCTCCTCCCATGTGACTCCAACCGCCAGGACCCGTTCAGCCAGGCTCATCTGAGTGCGCAGTTCAAGGCTCGCACCGTGCACAGAAGCTACCTCTCTTCACGAACAAACAACTGTTCGTCACCCTCGACCTCTCGTCATTTCCTGCTTCTTTTCACCTCCTCGCCCCTCCCGACTCTCCATGCCAGGACCCGTTCAGTCAGGCACACTTAAGCGCGCAGTTCAAGGCTCGCACCGTGCACAGAAGCTACCTCTCTCTTGTCATTGGTAAGAAACTCAGTGCATCACACAGGCTACTCGTGTGTATTCGAGTCAACCGAGAATGCATCTGAGTGCGCTTCAAAGCGCACAGTGGAAACAAATAACCTCTGTTCTTTCTTGTAAACGCATGTATGAAGGATCGCCGTATATTTTGACACCCAAAAGACAAAAGACAAAATAATTTGTCTAGAGGGACTAACATATCCCCTTCCCAACCATGCATGCAGGCACACCCTCTCCTCTCGCCGACCGCGTGGATGCCCCTATTGGTCGAGACCCCAAGGACCGCTTTTCGATTCCACCCAAACCAACAACGCCCCTCTTCCCCCCCTTCCCCCCCCCTCCCACCTATGCATGCAGGCACGCCGTCTCCCCTCTCCGATCGTGTGGATGCGGCCATTGGTCAAGACCCCAAGGGCCGTTTTTTTTTTTGGTCCACCCAAACCACCACACCCCCCCCCCCCCCCCTCCCCTCCCCCCTTCCCCCCCCCCCCTCACCCCCTCCTCCCACCTATGCATGCAGGCACGCCGTCTCCCCTCTCCGATCGTGTGGATGCACCCATTGGTCGAGACCCCAAGGACCGCAAGCGCATGGCCGTGCTGCCTCTCACAGGCTCTCACCGCAGCAGACGAGCCGCCAGCAGGTGAGATCTCTTATTTGTTCCCACTCCAGCTGCGAGCAGGTGGGAATGAAATGGCTCTGAGATGACTCCAATGATCTCAATTATGGCAGTTCTGCCTCTCACAGTTGCTGCCTCTCACAGTTGCTGCCTCTCACAGTTGCTGCCTCTCACAGGTGCTGCCTCTCACAGGTGCTGCCTCTCACAGACTCTCACCGGAGCAGACGAGCCGCCAGCAAGTGGGGGGAGTAGAACGGCTCTGATTTTACTTTCTGAAAGGCTCAATTGTGGCAGTGCTGCGTCTCACAGGCTCCCACCGGAGCAGACGATCAATTAGCAGGTGAAACTGGAGCTGGTCTGCGAGGACATTTTGATAGTAGAGCGCATGGCAGTCCTTCCTCTCGCGATTTATGCCTGTCACGGCTCCTGCCTGTCATAACTCCTGCCTGTCATGGCTCCTGCCTGTCATGACTCATGCATGTCATGACTCATGCATGTGATGGCCAGGTACTGGGTGCTGGGTCGGTTGCAGGAGGAAGCAGCTGTGGGGGCAGGAGGTGATATTTGAGTTAACTGTAAAATCACTGTAAAATCAACGTCTGTAGTGCCTGTCATTCCTGTTCTTCCCGTGACTGATGACCAGGTACCGGGTGCTGGAGTCACTGGCAGGATGAGCAGCTGCGCTGGTGGAATGGAGGCTGGAGGCGATTTGTTGATACCATTAAGCCGATCTCAGTGCATGTACGGTAGTCACCTTGTTCTGCCTGTCGTGCATGTAATGTGCGTGACTGATGACCAGGTACCGGGTGCTGGAGTCACTGGCAGGAGGAGCAGCTGCGCTGGTGGAGTGGAGGCTGGAAACCGGGAGGACACACCAGGTGGGTGTGAGGCGCCAGGTGGGTGGGTTGGGGGGGTCAGTGAGTGGGAGGTTGTTTGTTTGTTACGGGAAACTGTTAGCCAAGTTGTGTTAGGGCTTCTTTAGGAGTCTGAGTTGCATCTCTAAGACCATAAGGCTCGTATGGAGAGTGGGAAGTTTCAGTTTGTAATGTCTATAGAAGTCTGTTCTGCCGATTGTCACTAGGCATGATCATCGACCCGACCCGGGTTTTGACCCGGGTCGGGTCAGGCATTTTGAAGCGCTGACCCGACCGGGTCGGGTCGGGTTTACTTGGTCGGGTCGGGTCGACCCGACACCCGAAACCGGGTCGGGTCGGGTCGGGTCAGATTTAGACCCGAAGTCGTACCCGACCCGGTTTCGGGTACCGCGCCCTAAGTCGGGTCGAGTATTTGGCCCAACCCGACTTTTCCTCCCTCGACAAGTTGCACTAAAGCAGATGGCGAAGTCAATTTCTAGGGTTTGTTTGTTCCCTCGACATTGACATTCCCTCGACAAGTTGCACTAAAGCAGATCGCGAAGTCAATGTCTAAACCCTAGACCGGAGCTGCTGTAGTAATCCATTACCTAACTGCTGCTGTAGTAGGTCATCGTCAAAGTGAAGAGGAAGAAATCGAACGCAAAGATTATTGAAGGGAAAAGCGGCCTGACATTGAGTGAGTCTGGTAGAAGTTGGCAACAAATTGGATGGGGTGAAGGTGGGTTGTGAGCGGTGGATAAGAGGGAATGATCCACCAACAATCTCGAAATTCAGATCTGAAGTTGCTTTAGCAACGCGCGAACTCAGATCTGAATTTCGAGACTCAAATTTGAGTTCGCCAGATCGCGAACTCATCTTTTTTTTTCCGGTCAGCCCGAGCCAAATTTGGCGAATTTTAGAAAAATCCGCAGCGTACGAATTCTAGATGCGTATAAACTCAATACGCAACTTGAAACTAGCGTTTTTTCCAACTTAGGAACCTCTTGCCCTGCATATGGGGTCCTGGCCCGACCCGACCCGACCCGGCCCCTACCCGACCCGACCCGGGGGCGGGTCACGCCTGACCCGGCACCCGATACCCGGGTCGGGTCGGGTCGGGTGGGTCTAATGATCATGCCTAATTGTCACCATCACTCGCCTGTTACAATAAGTGTTCTCTCCTCTGCTGTCTTGGACCTTCCCTGTTGGCAGATCAGAGTACATGCGCGGCTCCTGGGCCATCCGTTGATTGGCGATGAAACGTACGGTGGATCAATGCGGCATGTGTCATCGCGCCTCCTGGCATCGTTGCCCTCCTCTTCACCCCTCCGCTCGTCTGTGGTACAATGGATCGCTGGGCTGGATCGCCCCCTGCTTCATGCAGCCACACTTGGGTGAGTGCAGGAACCAAGTAGTGTATGGGTTATTGTTGGGGACGTTTAGTATATCTATGGGTTTTACGACATCTACTAATGTTTTGTTTATTCTGTGTGAGCAGGTTTGTGCACCCGCATAAGCTCGAAGTTTTAACGTTTGAAGTTGCACCTCCGACTGACTTTATAGGGGCGTTGGATTTACTCAGATCGTTGTGACAGGGTTGGTGTGCTTGGTCATATGGCTCTTGCTCTTAGAGTAGTCAAGAGTAGGCATATAGTGCGGATACGTGGTCAACGCGGTCTCATCACTAGCTGACCAATCCAAGCCCTTCCCACATGCCCGCTCCGCAATATTCTAAGGACAGGGGGGCTTGAAACGTGCACTTTTGTCGCGCTGGCCGCATGACCTGGTCGTTGACCAATGTGATTCACAATTCTGTCCACGTGTCATGTTCCTCAGCTTCTGGCGGCTGAGTAAACATTTTGCAGTGGTCGTTCTTGGCTAAATGCTATGTGAGTACGAACTTGAGGGGCAAAACGTGCTTCCTGGGCGAAACTCTGAAGATGACTTGATTTCATCAATGGAACAGAACGCGCCCTATTTGAGCTCAGCTGCATCCATCCTCCACTTCTTGTACAGTTGCAGCTGCAGCAGAAGCAGCAGCAGCAGCAGCAGTCAGTTCATTTTCCTCATTTCCTCCGATTTGAGTTGTTTTGCTAGCTCGTTTTTCTTGAATTTGTAGCTTCTCCACGTCTACGTGATATAACTAAAACATTCAAACTCGCTGATTCCCGCAGTTTCTCTTTACTCCTCTGGTTGACCCTTGGTGGCACCGCCTCACTGCGAAAAAATATGGAGTCCGCCAAGCCTGCGATTCGTGTCTACGCAGCATCTGATTCATACGGTGCGACTCTTAGAAGCGCCATGGTTACTTACCTTCGCTCGAAAGGCATAGAGGTTGAAGACTACGGCGAAGACAAGTACTACACGGCGGCCGAACGCGTCGCCAAAAGCGTCGCAGCCGACCGCTCGGCGACAGATTCCCCTACGTGCGACACGCGTGGGCTGCTTGTGTGCGGAACCGGCACCGGCGTTACAATCTTCGCAAATAAAATTCCGACAGTTTACGCCGTGTTGTGCGACAGCGCCGACGTAGCGAAGAACGCGAGGTCGATCAATAACTGTAACGTACTCTGCATGGGTCAATTTCAGACTTCTCCAGACAGAGGGCAAGAGATCGTGGACGCGTGGCTTGCGACGGAATTCAAGGCGCCGTGTCCTGCGAGTGGTAACCAGCCGTGGAACAAAGAAGTCTTTGATTTCCTGACAAACTCGCCTAACGAAATGGCTGCAATAGGGATGCCAGAATCTGCACAAGTACATAGAGCTTCTGAACCAGGATGTGGGGTCTCACAAGAGGGCAAGGCTGCAGCATGAAAAGAGCAGCAGCAAGTTTGAACTCTCTTCAGGACAATCCAGGAGGTTCTATTATATCCCCTTTCGCTAGGAGGCCTGGGATGTGAAGGGAAACGGCTTGTGTGCCAAATGCAAAATGATACTGATGGTGTGGTGGTGCATCAGTTCTTATTGTATATTTTATCTGGTAGTGGAAAGTGCTGTTAGGATGTGAACATTGAGCAAGTGGCAGGCAGTCACCATCACTACCCATCAACTCTCGGATAGACCTGCAATGTAGTGTCCACAGCAAGAGAAGGGAAGAGAAATTAAACACCAAGAGACAGTGAATACACTGGAAAGAGGAACAAAGCTCAACATGGACTGCAGCACAGTACCTCATAAAATCCAGGTCTATCAGATGACTGAGCTGATGGGTACTGTTGAGAAGGCTCTGGATAGAAGTTTGAGAGTTGCAATGGCATATACATTGTTGTGGCGTCACATAGTTGAAAGGATTGACAGAAGTGATCTTTGATTCAAATTACAAGCTTTGGATTTATAGGTCAGCTTAATGCAGTTCATAATCTTGTCTATAGTTAGTACGGGTGCAATGCAATGAATCGAAGTAGCGAGAATTGCACTAAGGTGTCAAATGAGTACAAAAGTGAGCGAAGGCATGAGCGAACATTTGTATGCGAGATATGCAAACAGTAACGCGGTGCGTGCGAGCTAGCTAGTGCTATGCTGGCAGCGAGGCTCGGGCTAGTCCCGAAGCGTAGGCCGACACGGCCGGGCCAGCAGTGCGAGGTTTGGCAAACAGTGCGCGCGAAGTTGGCGAAGTCCCGTTAGCAGTAACGGGCGAACAACGGCTCGTTGCTGTACGCGATGTTGTCGGGCTCCGTAAGGAATGCCGAGAAAATTCCTTACAATAGTATTGAACAAACCGCCCAAATTAATAAAGATGTGATTAAAGCCCGCAGTCAGCATGGTTTTTGCCAAAACTATTGAAGGGCTTTAACTGTGTTGGCGAAATGAAAAAAATTCACTTCGGGAAGATGGGCGTGGCGAAAGCGAAATGAGCAACGAGGAGGTTGTGTAGTCGTCACTCAACATCAGTTGGAGCGTGCGACAAACCAACCCAACCGAATGAGGAGAAACCATGGAGTGTGTAAGCCCAACCTCACTAATGTCGGGCTTGAAACAATATACGAGGAAAAAGCATCTCGACAGCGCATCAAAGAGTAGAATACGTAGCCGCTCTACAAGTCTATCCTCCCCTTCCTCATCGAGTTCTTCCCCTCGTCGCGCTTCCCATTGCCTCGCCTCCCGTCGTCGCGCCTCACCTCGCCGCGCCTCCTGTCCCATCGTCACGCCGACCATCAGTTCCTGGGAGCCTCCGTTAGTCGCGCCGCCGCTCGCCCCGCCGCCGCGTCTCCGCTAGCCTCGCCGCGCCTCCGCAAGCCTCGCCGCTCCTCCGCTCGCCTCGCCGCGCCTCCGCTCGCCTCGCAGCACCTCTGCTCGCGGCGCCTCGCCTCCGATCGCCTCGCCGCGTCTCCGCTAGCCTCGCCGCGCCTCCGCAAGCCTCGCCGCTCCTCCGCTCGCCTCGCCGCGCCTCCGCTCGCCTCCCAGCGCTTCTGCTCGCGGCGCCTCGCCTCCGATCGCCTCGACGCGTCTCCGCTAGCCTCGCCGCGCCTCCGCTAGCCTCGCCCCGCCTCCGATTGCCTCGCCGCGCCTCCGCTCGCCTCGCAGCTCCTCCGCTCGCCTCGCCGCGCCTCGCGCACCTCGCCGCGCATCCCCTGCCATCAGTGTGCCAGCACCCTCGTCGCGCTGCCCCTCCTCACGCCTCCACTCCCGCTGCCCTTCTCCCACCTGCCCATCCCGTGCCCTCGCTTCCCTGCACTTTCATTCCCACGTGTTACCTTCCCCTTATTTTTGCCTATGCTTCCCCTCATTCCCCGTCTGCTTCCCCTCATTCCCCCCTCTCCTTCCCCTCCCCTTCTTCCCCTCATTTCTCCACCCGCTTCCCCTCATTCTTCCCTCTGCTTCCCCTCATTTACTCCCCTGCTTCCTCTCGTATTCCCCTCTGCTTCCCCTATTTCCCCCCTGATTTCCCTAAATTTTACCCTCCTGCTTCCCCTCGTTTCCTGCTCTACTTCCCTTCATTCCTCCCTTTGCTTCCCTTTCTCCTCGTTCCCCTCTTTTGCCCCACTGCTTCCCCTCGTTTCCCCGTCTGCTCTCATTGTTTCCCCCTCTGCTTCCCCTAATTTCCCCCCCTCCTTCCCCTCTTTTCCCCCCCTCCTTCCCCTCATTTCCCCCCCCTCCTTCCCCTCATTTCGAGCTCTGCTTTTCCTTATTATCCCTCCTGCTTCCCCTCATTTTCCACCCTGCTTCTCCTCATTTACTCCCCTGCTTCCCCTCATTTCCCTCCCTGCTTCACCTCATTTTCCTCCCTGCTTTCCCTGTTTTTACCTGCTTCCCCTCATTCCCCCCCCCTGCTTCTCCTCATTTCCCCCTCTGCTTCCCAGGATTTCCCCCTCTGTTTCCCCTCGTTTCCCTCCCTGGTTCCCCTCGTTTTCCCCTCTCCTCCCCTTGTTACAACTTCCTATCTCCCGCTTTCCCTCTCCCGCTCTTCCCTAACTCCCCTCTTCCCTATCTCCCCTCTTCCCTATCTCCCCTCTTCCCTATCTCCCCTCTTCCCTATCTCCCCTCTTCCCTATCTCCCCTCTTCCCTATCTCCCCTCTTCCCTATCCTCCCTCTTCCCTATCCTCCCTCTTCTTACGGTATTTTCTTCTTTCCCTCTCACTCTCTTCCTGTCTCCTCCTTTCCCTTTCCTCCCCTCTTCCTGTCACCTTTCCCTCTCACATCGTCCTATCTCCCCCTTTCTCTTCCCCCCTGCTTCTCTCTTCTCTTCACCCTCTTCCCTGTCTCCCCTATCTCCACTCTTCTAATCTCTATCTCTTTGAATTTTTTCTTGTTCCCCCTCCCAATCCCTTGTATTATCTCCCTCCCCCTGGCTATTGCAGTAACTACACTGAAGATTTTTCTGGTACTTCAACTCACCTCAACCCATCATCCCATCCCATGCTCGTAGAGTTACAGTTCCCCTCCTGTTTTTTTTTCAGGGCCTTGAGAAAGGTTCAGTCGTATATGTATTGCTTCCCTTGACCCTTTCCTACAATCAAAAGTATTAGAACATGCTTACATGCCTATGCATCTTAGAAGAATATCTTGCACTGCAGAAACAAAAGTACCGTACATAGTGTGCCTTAGGGGTGCATATCTCTAACAGTAATACAGTAGTACGATGCGCGCATACAACAGACACGTAACAGATGGTGTTACGGTGTAAAGCATCGACTAGCTGCGCCTCAGCTAGCAATTGTTGCTCCTTTGCTTCACCACTGAAAAATAGGGGAATGGAGAAGGCAGAAAGAATTGTGTGAAGGAACATGGGGGAGGTGGTGTGAGGTGCAAGGGACCAATGGCAACAGCAAGGGCACATGATGAAAGCGTGTACAGGGAGACAGTGATGGGTCCACATGCATGGGAAGGGTTTGAGAAGGGATGGGGAAAGGAAGCGCAGGGCAAGGAGGGAAAGGCAGGGATAGGGAGGGCAGGGCAGGTGGGAACATGGCTGAGGGTGGTGGGAAGGAGGGCTGAGGGTGGTGGGAAGGATTGTGAGAGTGCGGGAGGAAGGAGAGAGAAAGTGCGGGTGCGAGGAGAGAGAGAGGGCGGGAGGAGGGAGAGAGAGGGTGGGAAGAATGAGAGATGGCGGCAGAACGGAATGGGAGAGGGTGGGCGGAACAGAATGAGAAAGGCCGGCCGACACGCAACGCCCGCACTTGCGACGGGCATTTTCCCAACGAGCGAGGGGGAAAGCTGCCAGCGGAAGGGATAGGAAGGACACCTGGGCAGAGATTATGGGGGGGAGCAGGGAATGGGATGGGGGGAAGCAGGGAAGGGGATGGGGGGAAGCAGGGAAGGAGATGGGGGGAAGCAGGGAAGGGGATGGGGGGAAGCAGGGAAGGGGATGGGGGGAAGCAGGGAAGGGGATGGGGGGAAGCAGGGAAAGGGATGGGGGGAAGCAGGGAAGGAGATGGGGAGGAGCAGAGAAGGGGATGGGGGGAAGCAGGGAAGGGGATGGGGGGAAGCAGGGAAGGGGATGGGGGGAAGCAGGGAAGAGGTATAAGATGGGGGAAGGAAGGCGATTATTGGAGGGAGGGAAAACAGGGAGTAGGAAGAGAAAAGGGAGGGTGACAAGTGTGCGAGATGGGAAGGGAGACGGGAGGGAAGGCGAGGGCGACGGGGAGTGGATGGCAGGGCGACGGGGAAAGCGAGGGCGACGGGGAAAGCGAGGGCGACGGGGAAAGCGAGGGCGACGGGGAAAGCGAGGGCTACGGGGAAAGCGAGGGCGACGGGGAAAGCGAGGGCGACGGGGAAAGCGAGGGCGACGGGGAAAGCGAGGGCGACGGGGAGAGATGGAGAGAGGGAAAGCGAGGGGACGAGCGGAAGGGATGGCGACGAGAAGCACGGAGGTCGACGGGAAGAAGCGCGGGCGACGAGAAGGGAAGGCGACGGGAAGGGAGGGCGATGGGAAGAAGCGCGGGCGACGGGAAGGGAAGGCGACGGGAAGGGAGGGCGACGGGAAGGGAGGGCGACGGGAAGGGAGGGCGACGGGAATAAGGGTGGGCGACGGACGGAAGGCAGGGCGACGAGGGGGAAAGAAGGGCGACGGGCGGAAGGGAGAGCAACAGTCGGAAGGGATATACTTGTCCTTCGACTGTGCGACCGTCTAGATCCTGTGAAAGTTTAGAAGAAAGAAGAGGAGTGAACTAGCAAGAATGGGGATACAAATAGCAAACCCTAGAAGAGTTGTACTCGTTATAGAGCACCCCACTACAGGCTATAGCATAATATTCTGACACACCCCCATAGCCAAAGTGGGGTGTAATCAGCAGAGCAAGCAAAGCAGTACAAGCTCAGGGTGGATCACAATGTCACCACACATTCTGAGCACAAGTTCAAGAAGCAATAGTTTAAAGTTCACAATTATGAGCAAAGCTAGAGGTAGTCACAACGGGCAAGTGAGGAGGAGGAGAGAGAGTGAGAGGAGAGGAGATAGGAGGCGACGGATGAAGCTGCAGACACACGGGCAACAGGAGGCACACTGGCACAGCGGCTACCGGACGAAGTCCCCGGAATACAGGAGTAACAGGCCCCGCGGCTGAAGTAGCGGCAGACGAGCAACGGACACACGGGCGGCTGGCACAGCTGGCTATGACTGGGCTACCGGACGAAGTCCCCGGAATACAGGTGCTGCTGGCGACACGACGGCAACCTCCATACAGCTTCCCCGAACGATCCCACTCCCCCTGACACACACCCGCTGCTACACCCCTAGCTCCACTCTCACCCCACCCCCTAGCACCACTCCGTCGAATCCCACACACCCACCCCCCTCAGCGGTAGCTGTAGCAGTGGGAGACAGAGGAGGAGGAGGAGCAGGGGAGACTACACACCCGCCACCCCCCAAGTCGCGGCCCCCGAAGGAGCCGCGACGGGCGACGGGAAAAGGGGGGGGGGGGGGCGGTGCCGTAGGTAGGGCGACGGAGCCGGGCCGTAGGTAGGGCGACGGGACGACGGGGCCGCAGGTAGGGCGGCGGGGCCGGGGCCAGGGCCGCAGGTAGGGTCGCCCGAGCCGCGCGCGGGCCTGGCGCCGCTCGTACGGGTCGCGCGTATGCCTGGCGCGGCCCGTACGGGCCGCGGACGGGTCTGGCGCGGCCCGTACGTGCCGCGCGCAGGCTGTACGGGCCGCGCGCAGGCCACGATGGGTGACGGGGGGCGACGCGGAGGTCCCCGTCGCCCGTCGCAGCGCCTCCCGGGAGCGGCGCGCGGCGTGACGGGGCAGTAACCCGCCACGCGCCTCGGGGCGCACGGCGGGAAGAGAACCGCCGCGCGCCTCGGGGCGCACGGTGGGCAGAAAACCGCCGCGCGCCTCGGGGCGCACGGCGGGATGAAAAAAATGCCGCACGCCACGGGGCGTGCGGCACAGAGAGTAGTGATAGCAGTAGCAGTAGGAGTTGCAGCGGAAGCAACGAGGTGGTGAGCCCACCCACAGGATCGATCCAAGGGGATCGACCTGCTCTGATAGCATGTGAAAGTTTAGAAGAAAGAAGAGGAGTGAACTAGCAAGAATGGGGATACAAATAGCAAACCCTAGAAGGGTTGTACTCGCTATAGAGCACCCCATTACAGGCTAGAGCATAATATTCTGACAAATCCGCAACCCGGGTTAGACGCCGGGGGGGGGGGGGGTGGATGGAATTGTGACGTGCAGGCACGTGTTGGCGTCGCGCGAGTAACTATATCCGGTTGGGTACGCACCGCATACGCATGTGAGCTCTCTAGATATTGTATAAATGGGACATCTCCGATTGGTTTTATGATTGGCTGTTCGTATTCCTCACCAAATAGGCTGCTGTACTGATATAGCTGATAGCCACGGAGAAAAGGAGTGATACAGAGAAAGTTTGGGCGTGAAAAACGGGTGAACTAAGATTGTATTCCAGCGCCGGGACACCATCCGAAGTTAGGACACTTGGTTGTTTTCTTCATTTCATTTCGAATGAAGGTCTATTTCGTACGTAGCCCCGTAGTTTGAAAGGTCGGTTCGATTCTCAAACCCAATCTTGCATCGGAAGTAACCGTTTAGATATGTTGGGCGAACTGAGTCCTCCGCGCCTACTCAACTCACCGACACGTGTGATGTGCGGTGTACTGAAATCGTTCAGATCTTAGTGTGTATATTCCAGAATTGAAAAATTCGTAACATCGTGTCTAGGTCACGTTGAACTAGGGGAAGTAGGCATGCAGCACGAGAAAACTCTCAAGGTGTCCCCACATCGCATGGTGTCCCTGCGTTGGAATACAATCTAAGTAAACGTAGGCTGTCAATATGCCTGCCATTTAGTACAACATGGTTATCAAGCTTACTGAAAGTGAACAGTGCTTCATTGCCCTCCGACCCTTCACTCGGTATGACTGGTTTTGTTGCTGGCCAATCATGGAACAACGTCGCAAAACCTCCCCTCTGGATCGCGACGGATATGCTCCACTTCGGGTGGTAACATGGTTTTGGCGTATTCATATTCAGGAATCTTGAACTTGAAAATAGTCATGTGGAAATTGGGCTTTAACGTTCAAAGTTCAGGAAGCTAGGTGCTATGTTTGTAGTGTTTCTGTGATCGCGTTCTCACCTGACCGAATTTCGCACATCTGCTCGGCAATCCCCACAATACCAGTTCCAGTTTCATGCTCCCTATTCGCGGCTGCTGGTTTTCGCCACCAGCTGCGGGTGGATTTTGCACCCTCGTAAGAAACCCTGAAAGACCTAGTGAACCGGTTCCTCGCATTCCGCTTAGCAGAAATAATATTTCCAACCTGTCAAAATGCATTGATTTCCCGACGAAAACGTCGCAATAATTAGTGGACTTGACGATGCGGCCCGGTGGCTTCGGTCACGGGAGGGGCAGTGCGACTCGTACTGCTCCAACAAGCGGTGCTTCGCGAACTAGTGGTGCAAATGTAGCGACTGCCGTTGCAACCAAGGCAGCGCTTTCAGTGAGGTCCAGCGGCTCTGATGACGCGCCGTCAAGGTACGGCGAGGATCTTCCAGCAGACGTGACTTTTGACTCAACCCAAAAGTCACCTTATTAAGGCAGCTCTTTCAGTGAGGTCCAACGGCTCTGATGACGCGCCGTCAAGGTACGACGAGGATCTTCCGGCGACCGTTGATCGTCGTTTAAAACAGGAAATTAGGAGCCTCGTCATGTTACCGTACCGCATTCCATCTCAGCTCCACGTTGGCGCTCTTTCCGATCTCTACGTATGTCACCGCTCCACCGGAAATTCCCTCTGCCCTTACCGCCATCGTCCTGCCTGTTCGTGCAACATTAGTAAGAAGTGGACAGGTGGGCTGCGGAAGCCATACTTTCATCAATTCAGTGGGTTCGTTTGTTTTAGGACAACCTTACGAACCCCATGGTACCGTACCGAATTCCATCTCAGCTCCTCGTCGCCCTGCCTTCTCGTACAGCTGTCGCTTTCATTCGATCTCCACCTGTCCCCAATCACAGGCGAACAACTGTTGGGTGGGTCGCATCGTTTCTCATTGGCTCGCTCCTGGGAGGGATTTTAACCGCAATCATCGTTCCTGCCGTGAGTGCAGTGCTGCTTTCCTCTCACTGCACTCCCTTCGTCCCCTCTTTCCTTCATTCCCACTCTTTACTGTTCCAAAGCATCTTTTCCACATGTTATGAATTTTAAAAACATTAGGCCGACTTGTCTTCCATTACCATTTTCGAAATACTGGACCAGTTGGCCTAACGAACTGGTTACTAATAGCAACGGATGAGTGTTTGCCTTTCCTTTCCATCATCTGATTACTCTCTCCTCCCCTCTTTGCTCTTCAGGTCTTACCTCCTCCTCCGCCTTCTCCTGCCGTAGCAACCACCACTTTCTCCTCCCCAATCGCTTTCATACCCACCACTGCTGCAACCGCTGCTACCTCCACTGCTCCTGCTGGTGTTTCCATGCCCATGTCAGCATCTGCTGACGCTGCCAACGTGGCTGCTGATGCTGTGGCGGCTGACGTGGCTGCTGACGTGGACGCTGCCAGCAACGCCACGTGGAGAGGTGACGTGGCAGGCGTTCAGGCGGAGGCAGAGGAGCTGCTGGTGCAAAACACGGAGCTGCGGCGTGCTCTGGGGAAGCTGCGGCAGACGGTGATGCTGGAAGCAAGGACACGCATGGCTCAGCTTAAGAGCATCCTCAAGGTGAGCATTCTCAAGGTGAGCATTCTCAAGGTGAGCATCCTCAAGGTGAGCATCCTCAAGGTGAGCATTCTCAAGGTGAGCATTCTCAAGGTGAGCATTCTCAAGGTGAGCATCCTCAAGGTGAGCATCCTCAAGGTAAGCATTCTCAAGGTGAGCATCCTCAAGGTGAGCATTCTCAAGGTGAGCATTCTCAAGGTGAGCATTCTCAAGGTGAGCATTCTCAAGGTGAGCATTCTCAAGGTGAGCATTGACGAGAGTGGAACAACCTTCGTTTTCAACACGTTGGAGAATTTCGGAGATGAACTTCTGTTCCCCTCCCCTTGTCCTCCTCCCACTTTGCCCTTCCCTTCCCCCGAACTGTTTGCATCCATCACCATTGCCATCTCGATTTGTTTTTTCCCTCCACCTTCTGTTCCCTTGCCTTGCACATGGTTATTTTCAAACATCGGCACCATGTGGTAACCAGGAGATCAAGTTGGTGCAGGACCAGCGTGCTTTGACCTTCTATGTGGACGACAGGCACCTGCCATCGCCACCACCAGAGCTGAAGGAGATTGCTGCACTGACTGCCAGGCGGCGGCCGGATGTGGATGCAAAAGAGGAGGAGCTGGTGGCGAGAGCGCAGGTGAGGCAGTGAGTATGGGTGTGGGTGTGGGTGCTTGCTTGTATATGCAGTGCAGAGGACAGGCACCTGCCGTCGCCGCCACCAGAGCTGAGGGAGATTGCTGCACTGACAGCGAGGCGGCGGCCGGGCGTGGATGCCAGGGAGGAGGAGCGGGTGGCGCGGGCACAGGTGGGTGGGAGATCATGAGAGCATGAGACGATGATTGTGGTGTGGGCGGGCTTATTTTTCTGCTCGAGTAAATTGTGGGACGGTTCAAAACCCCATCCCCCCCCGCCCCCCCCCCCTCCCACCCCCCCCCCCCCACTTTCGTCCCACACTGGCCAGTTGCGGGTGCTGTCTCTCTCTGGGCGGGGAGATAGAGCGGGCCGTGCAGGCTGACTTGTTGAAACACTTTTGAGACATCTCAAGTTTCCCCCCTTCCCCCGCTCCCCCTCACTCCTTTTTCCTGACCGGCCAGGTGCGGGTGCTGTCTCTGCGCGAGGAGATAGAGCGAGCCGTGCACGCTGACTTGCGCCTCAGCTACTCCCGCTGCGCTGCTTCTCTGCAGCACACCCTAGAGGCCCAGCAGGCGCACACACAAGGCGAGTGTAAATAGCGGTGCGAGTAGCTTCATGACACATTTTCCTGCTGTGCTGCTGCACATTCTTGCTTTTTTGTTAATTATGAAATCATTTTATTATCTCTCTTTTATTCTGTTCAAATGGAGGTGTCTTGACCATTCTTTTCATTCCTTCGTTCCCCTCCCTCCCATCAGCCATGCAAGCATACATGGCAGCGCACACCACACTCGCCCTCCGCCTCACGGCTCTGTCAGTGCTCAAGCAGCCAGGCAGCGCGGAGAAGCTGCGGCGACTAAGGGAGCAACCCAGCCTGCTCTCCTCGCCTGCTGCTAGAAACGCCTTCCTCTCCTCCCTTGATGCACCAGGTGAGTCTGCTTGTTGTATTAACACTCCTCCTCGTGGCTCTGTCAGTGCTCAAGCAGCCGGGCAGCGTGGAGAAGCTGCAGCGACTAAGGGAGCAACCCAGCCTTCTCTCCTCGCCTGCTGCTAGAAACGCCTTCCTCTCCTCCCTTGATGCACCAGGTGAGTCTGCTTGTTGTATTAACACTCCTCGTGGCTCTATCAGTGCTCAAGCAGGCGGGCAGTGTAGAGAGAGTGCAGCGCCTGTGGGAGCATCCCAGCCTGCTCTCCTTGCCTGCTGCTAGAAACGCCTTTCTCTCCTTTGATGCACCAGGTGAGTCTGCTTGTTGTATTTTCACTCCGCCTCACGGCTCTATCAGTGCTCAAGCAGCCAGGCAGCGCAGAGAAACTCCAGCAATTGGGGGAGCAGCCCAGCCTGCTCTCCTCTCCTGCTGGTAGCACACCTTCTTCTCTTCCCTTGATGCACCAGGTGAGTCTGCTTGTTGTATTTTCACTCCGCCTCACGGCACTGTCAGTGCTCAAGCAGCCAGGCAGCGCAGAGAAACTCCAGCAATTGGGGGAGCAGCCCAGCCTGCTCTCCTCGCCTGCTGCTAGGACCACCTTCATCTCTTCCCTTGATGCGCCTGGTGAGTCTGCTTGCACCTTTTTCACTGGAGCACACGGCTCTATCAGTGCTCAAGCATCCTCTTTTGAGTCGACTCAAAAGCGAGCACACGGCTCTATCAGTGCTCAAGCAGCTGCGCAGTGGAGAGAAAGTGCAGCGCCTGAGAGAGCAGCCCAACCTGCTCCACCACCCACCCGCATTGAGGTGGTTTGTGAGGCGCCTCAAAAACCACCTCAACGCAGCGGAGAGAAAGTGCAGCGCCTGAGGGAGCAGCCCAGCCTGCTCCACCACGCACCCACCCCCTCCCTTCAACCCTTCTCCCCTTCCCCTCGTATGCCCAGCAGAAGTATCACTGTGGGCGGATCTCCTCTTATCCGCGTCCCACTTCCCATCTGTATTCCTCTCTACCGACCTCCATCCACCAGTTAAACACCCACTGATCCCCCTCTGCTTTCTCCCCCGCATCCCCTTCTGCCATCCCCCTCCCCGTGTGTCCAGCAGAAGCATCACTGTGGTCAGACCTTCTCTTCTCTGCATCCCATTTCCCCTCCATATTCCTCTCCACCGACCACCACCCCTCACGCATCTCAACCATGCAAAGCTTAGCTAACACCCAGAACGGCACGGTCCTGGCACTTAAACTGCGCACCGACCACGCTGCTGCTGCCGTGAAGGAAGCCAAGGGGAAGCTTCCTGAGCTGTGCCACGTCAGCAGCTCCTGGGTGAGCCCCGAGGGTGCTGACGTGTCTCCTTGCACTCTGGCCAGTCGAATATCAGAAGAAGAGGGGGAAGGAAAGAACAGAACAAGCAAGAGCAGCGGAGGGACAGAAGCAGGAGCAGGGACGGAGACTGACCCTAAGAAGGAGTCAGGCCCCCTGTCAGGGCCCTTAGCACCCTCTGCTCTGTGGCGACAACCCCTTTGGGACCTCTCCTTCCCCACCCATCCTTCCGCGTTTCCCGCCTTCCCTCACTCCTATGCCTTCGATTCTCCTGCCTCCTCCCCGTTCTCCTCCTCCCCCTTCTCCTCCTTCTCCTCCTTACTTTCGTCGGCGTCTCAATCGCCGGCTACAGCTGGCTCATCTGTAGCAGAGCAATCCACAACTGCTACAGATGCTGCTACAGCTGATGCTCATACCCACTCCCATTCAGCCGAATCCCCAGGTTCATCCAGCGCCAGCTCACTCCCCGAATCAGCCACGTCATCACCTGCCACGTCAGCAGCTGCAGTGAACATCTCCTTCCTCATCTACACATCGCCGCCCACCACAGCCGCCCTGGATCTCGTCTCCAAGCTGTATGAGTGCACGCATGGGCGGCTCAGGGCGGGCAGCATAGGCGGGCGGCTGGGGGGACTCACATCGGAAGCCCTTGTGTTACTAGATGGTCCCTCCATTCCCCTGCACCAAGCCTCTGCCATGGTCCGCCGTGGGAAAACCGCTGGTGGGAGCGGCAGTGGGGATAAGAGCAGCAGCAGCAACAGCAGCAGCAGCGGCGGTGGCAATAACAGCACCGAAGGCATACCAAGCACAGTGCCAGGGTTTGAGAAGTACTACAACCCTGCAGATTGGATCCAAGCCACCCGCCGAACCGCTCCAGGTTCGTTCCTCACGCACATCCTCGCGCCATCCCGTATGGGCGCCGCCCGAGCCTACAACCTCCTCTCCCTCCTCGCCCGCGGCTCCGTCCTCATTCTCCTTGCGGGCGGCGATCTGCCGCCCGACTCCTGCGACTGGGCGGCGAATCTCGTCTCGCCTTTCTCGGCATGGCCCCGGCTGGGAATCGCAGGGCATTCGATGGGGAAGATGGGGCTGAGGAACGTTCCAGGAAGCCTGCAGCTGGGGGAGTTGCGGAATGCGGGGGATCAGTTTTGGAACAGACTTAGAGATCCGGTTACAGGGGTGAGGATGAGCTTTGTGTTGGGGACGGTGACAGGGCCAATGGCGGCGAGGCGAGACGTGTTTGTGAAGGTGGGGGGGTTCAGTACAATCGACGGAGGTATAGATGCACTATCGGACTGGGACCTCTGCCAGCATGTGTGGCTCTCTGGCCATCAGGTAAGTGAATTCCTCATGGCCCACATTCATGTTTCTGCTGTTTCTCCTCCCTTTTCCTTTATGTCATATTCTCATGCTTGCGACTGCGCTCTTCCGATAGTGCATCCACTGTATGTTTTCTACTACTTGTTGCCTGTCTCTGTCTCTTTTTTTGTCTGTTTGATTTCTAGGTAGCGTTGGTGTATCAAGAACCAGAGCTTCGCTTTAAAGCCACTGATGAGTTGACCAGAAGCCGTGACATGGCACGCTCAACCGAGTTATGGTCTCCTGACCATTCTGTGATCCATCCGAACCTCACAGACAGAATCATTTCTGAAGTGAAGCATATGAACAGATACCTTAAGCCGTTATTAATTTGGGAGTGAAGCTATGTAACTAATCAGCATTTCATAAGACTCCCTGTAGCATGGTATAAATGCTGCAAGTTATAGCAGTAAAAGTAAGCAGTGTTCTTTCGAATGCCTGCAGCATTGGTTTCATCTTTCTTGCCATCACCAAAGCCGTCACGCGTCACCGCACCTACCACTTTGCCTCGGCCCTTGAGATCATCGTCGTCTCCTTGCCTCACCCTCCCGATTTCAGCATGACCATTACAGCGATTTCACCTTTGACCTCACCACCAGCATCACAGCCTTACCTCATCAACACCACTCCCCGCCACTCGCCAACGCGCAGTGCCGTTCTTCACCATCTTTACCTCACCTCGCATCAAGTCATTCATTCACAGCTTGTCAACAGGAATCTGGGGCATTCTGCCTGTCAGTGCAGGCACACTGGAACAGGCACAGTCTTCATCACAACGTCGCATCATTAGTTCCGCCCAGCGTCGCTTCACGCAGCGTATCCTTTTCGATCAGCGTCTTTTGAAGCCGCATGAGAGCTGCGTGTTTCGACGAGTGTCGTTTATGATGGAGTTCTCAACTCGAGAGCTCTTCAGAATTGTATAATGACGTTCATTCGTGGCTTGAAATCAATGCAGTGATCTTGCGTGACATGCTCGCTGGATTCAGTATGGTTATGCATTTTCGTGATTAGGAACAATTCCCGCAACCAGCGAACTGCAGCCATTGCGTCCGCAAAGTCCTCTTCTTGTGGAACCGCAATTTGCGGAATTGAACTTTCATAGTAGTATGCGTGAACCTATGTTCAAGCTAGCATGACATTTGGACTTCACGAACAGTAAATAGGAGATTTCAAATTTCCTGAGTGACGATAGGATACTCCCCTATAGGCAGCCAATGGTGGTGTCGTCGTATTTATGCGAGCCAGAGTATTAGCCTCTGTTAGCTTGTACTATACTGTTAGCCGTACATTAGGCTGCTACTCTAGCGCTAGGCTTGCGTCAGGTTCTTGACGTCTCGTCAGGCTCGGTGCAAGATGGATTTTCCCCAGCCTAAGTTCCCGGCTCGGATAGGCGGCCTCTCGTGGAACGACGACGGCGATGACTCAGATTCGGATTCGCCCGAATCAGAATCGGGATCCATGGGAAGCGGCGTGGGTCTCTTGGGAGGCTCTGGCGAAATTCCCCGCTCCGAAAGCTCCGCCTGGAAAGCCAGCCGCGGAGGGGGAAGCACAGGGGGAGGAGGGGAGAGAAGCGGAAGCTTATTTGGGGGTGCTGGCGACATAGCAGGTATCGGGTTTAGCGGCGGGCTGAGCGGCGTGATTAGCGGCGGAATCAGCGGCGCTAGCAGCGTCAGCGGCGGCGGAGGAGGAGGGGAGAGAAAGGTGAAGTTCGATACTCCAGACGCTCCGGCATCGGTCTCAGCCACAGGCGGGGCTCCTGCTCCTCCCAAGCCTCGTCATTCCCGCGCGCTGTCATCCGAAGCTCCTGACTTGCTCGCGCCCAAACCTAACGCCCGCCGGGCAAGGACGACTGCCTCGGCGATTTTCACTCGGCCCAATCAATCAAGCGCTTCAGGTCCGTTCGTTCTGCCGAGCCCGTTCCTTTTCTCGCCTCCCTCTGTGTTGTCTCTCTCTTTTTGTCTCCCACCCGCTCCCTCCGTTGCAAAAGCAAGATGCATTCGTGGCTTCATTCCATGACCTGCTGTGCCTCGTCCTCCCTATAACAGGCTCCGATAGTATCCCCCAAGACCCATTCCGCCGGCAGCGCCACGACTCCATCGGGGGAGGCATCCCTGGCGCGGGGGGGATGCGCCAGATGCTCACTCCGGGCAGCGCCGCCGCAGCAGCCGCCCGGCAGCGGCGCATGTCCGTCCAATTCGCGTCAGGCTTCTCAAAACCCACGGGATTGCAGCTGCCAGGGACTGTGGGGGGCCAAGGGGGACCCATGACCCCTACCGCTGGTGGGAACCCCACTACTGCAACCAAGAAAGTGCAGAAATCTATGATGATGTGTATGGATCCGACGTGCAACGCGTGCCCGCCGGAAATGCATGCATTGCGGAATAAAAAGCTCATGGCTCAGGTTATAGACGAGTTTCCGGAGCCTATGGCGCGGCCTACGAGGCGAGGGGGGAGGGGAGGGGGAAGGGGAGGAGGAGGAGGAGGAGATGATGATGATGATGATAGTGATTATGATTTTGATGATGATGATGACGATGATGATGACGATTATGGGTATGATTATGACGCGGAGCAGGGGCAGAGGACGATTGTGCGGTTCTGTGGAATCACCTGCTTCACGTACACGTCCAAGGTGAGATTCAGTTCAATCTTGGCGTCAGGTGAGGTTCGTATTCCCTCCTTGCTGCAGCAACATGGGGGGCAGGCAGCAGCACAGAGCGATTGTGCGCTTCTGTGGAATCACCTGCTTCACTTACACCTCCAAGGTAGCCTCTTGCAGTGCAGGGAAGGATTCGAACCGCAGCAAGCCGTGGAATCACCTGCTTCACTTACACCTCCAAGGTGAGACTCAGTTGCACCCTTGTGTCAGGAGAGGCTTATCTCGCCGGCGCTACACTGGGTACATGATTCCTTCTAGTGCTCTTTTGCCACCGTCGTTACCTACATAGCTCTGCATCCCACTCTGTCCGTCTCCATCCTTCCCTTCCCTCTGACTCACCATCCTAGCCCCCCTCTTGCAAACACTCACCCTCAGCCGAAGCGCAAGAAGCGCAAGCGCGGTGGACAAAGGCGTGGGTGGGAGGACGTGCAAGATTTGTTTCAGCCCATTAGCATGCTGTGGCAGCCGTGGGGCATCCTGAACCCTCTTTCTCCCTCCTAAACCCTCTCTCCCTCTTTGTCCCTCATAACCTTCCTTCCCACCCCAGCGGAAACGCAAGAAGCACAAGTCACGGTGGACCAAAGCCTGGCAGGACGTGCAGGACTTCTTTCAGCCCATCAGCATGCTGTGGCAGCCACGGGGCATCCTGAACCCTCTTCCCCTGCTCTCTCTCCCTCACCCTGCTCTCTCCCCACCCAGCCGCCAAAGCGCAAAAAACGCAAGTCACGGTGGACGAAGGCTTGGCAGGACGTGCAGGACTTTTTTCAGCCCATCAGCATGCTGTGGCAGCCGTGGGGCATCCTGAACCCGCACTCTAAATTCATGGCGCGGTGGAACAAGGTGTTCATGGTGGCGTGCATCCTCGGCTTCACCATCGACCCCTGGTTCCTCTTCACCCTCCAGGCGCTCTACCAAGTGGCGCCCCAGCCGGTGAGAGGGGGCGAGGAGAGGTGGGGAGAGGGAGAAAGCGAGTCAGGGAGTTGGAAGTGAGTGAGAGAGTGGCGCCCCAGCTGGTGAGAGGGGGCGAGGAGAGGTGGGGAGAGGGAGGGAGGGAGGGAGGGAGCGAGGGAGCGAGGGAGCGAGGGACCCTAAACCCGAAACCCTAAACCGTAAACCGTAAACCCTAAACCTTATGCCGCTATGCATGTGGCATGCTGTCTCTATTTTCCTTCGCCAATGAAAGTAATCCACCACATCCTTTTGCCCTGCCCAACTAGAGCACTCCTTACCAAATCCCCACCCTGTGTCTGACCCTGGACTGGACAGCAGCATATCCCCTCCTTCACTGTGTACGTGGAGTCAGCTCAAGCCATCCTTCCCCACCCTGTCTCCCCCCCCCGGCAGGCCATGCTGTGCCTGACTCTGGACTGGACAGCAGCCATCACCTTCACTTCTTTTTGGGTTGACTCAACTCAAGCAATGTCCAACCCATTGAGTCGACTCACAGACCATTCTCTCCCACCCCCCACCGTGACCCGCCAGGCCATGCTGTGTCTCACTCTGGACTGGACGGCAGCCATCACCTTCACTGTGCTGCGCTCCTTTGTGGACCTCTGCTACGTCATTCAGATCGTCGTTCAGGTGACAATCTTACGCACCACCACTGTTCAGTTCAGTTCAGTTCAGTTCAGTTCAGTGCCCGCCCGCCCACCAAGTTCATATGACGCACTAACTGACCACTGGTCTGGTCACTTTTGAGGCGCCTGAAAGCCATCGCCATCACCTTCACTTCATTGTTCTGTGCTACATCGTGGACCTTGGCTACGTCATTGTCATTCAGAGATCATCGTTCAGGTGATGGTGCAGTGGTCCATTAGGTGATGCTTGCTCACCGACCACTGCCCAGCCCAGTTCCCACCACGTTGTTCCGGTTTTAAGTGACATGCTTGAGCTGCATTATTCATTCATTCATATCATGCTCCATGCATCATCCCACCGACCCACCCTTACCCCCTTCCTCCTCCCCATTTTCCTCCCCGACACCTAAATAATGCATCATCTTCCTTCCAATTTCCCCCACTCACTTCCATATGGCCTACATTGCCTCCCCACCAAGCCAACCAATGGCGCAATATTTTGTCGTCTGCTGCCAGCTGGCGACCCAACAGAGCCCAGATAATTGCACCCTCTTGCACCCTTCCAAACCTCCACTTCAAACCCTGAACCCTAAACCCGAGCTCTAAGTCAGTGACCTTTTTGACTCCTCTTAAACCCATTCTCACCCGCCAACCGCCTTCCTCTGCGTCCCCACCAGTTCCGCATGGCCTACATTGTGCCCCCCCCCTTCTCCTCCCCCCACCAACCAACTGCAAGAACCGATTCTTCCGCTGCTGGTTGGCCTGGACAGCCCAGAATAGCACACCACCCTCTTCCACCACCCCTCCAATCCCTCTCTTCCAAACCCCGAATCCAAAACCCTCAAACTCCTACTCACAGAACAATCCTCCTCTCCCTCCCTCCCACCCTCTCCCATCCCCTCCCTTCCCACCTTCCCGCCCCCTTTTCCCCCGCTTTCCTTCACTCCCACCAGTTCCGCATGGCCTACATAGTGTCACCCCCAACCAACCGCAAGAATCGCTTCTTCCGCTGCTGTTGGGCCGACCGCTCTTTGCAGAGCCCCCAGAAGCTCACACCCTCTTCCACCCCTCGAATCTCCCTCTATTAAACCCCAAACCTGAACCAACAAAAACCCAGAAAACATCTTCCTCCTCCCCCTCCTCTCTCTCCCCTGCTCCTGTCCCCTGTCCCCTCCCGCCCCCCTGTACCCCCACCAGTTCCGCATGGCTTACATAGTGCCGCCTCCCACCAACCGCAAGAACCGCTTCTTCCGCCGCTGGTGGGCCGACCGCTCCCTGCAGAGCCCGGGCGACCTCGAGTTCGATGCACGGGTCATCGCCAGCCGCTACCTGCGCTCCTGGTTCCTCATTGATGTACTGGCAGCGCTGCCCATCCCCCAGGTGAGGGCTACCACCCCACTCGGTGCTGCCTCTCTGTTCTCCCCAGGTGGTGCCTACCCCTGTTCTGCTCACCGCACTCCTGCAGAGCCCTGGGTTTCTTTATTTTGCCTGCTCAAAACGTCCCTTGTGCCATCCGCTTCTCTCCCATACTCTCGTTGCCTGACCCCTTGTGCTCCCCCCACCCCCTTGTGCCCATATACCCTGCTTTTCCCGTTCTTCCTCCTCTACCTTTTTCCTCCACTCCCGTAACCCTCCCAGATAGTGATGCTGGTGATAGTGCCAATGATGGGTCGATCAGTCCCCTCCAACACCGGAGTCGCCATGACAGTGCTCTGCCTCGCAGCCCTCTTCGCTCAGAACGTCCCCCGGGCCATCCGATTCTTCCCCATCCTCTCGGGCAACGCGCCGCATGTTACCGGGCTCGTGTTTGAGACGGCATGGGCGAATTTCCTCCTCAACTTTGTGTTCTACCTCATGGCGTCCAACATCGTCGGCAGCATGTGGTACTTCCTCGCTGCCTCGGTGAGTGCGTTCTATTTGGCCTATAGTTTTCTGCCTTGAGCACCACTGCACTTGTTAGGCAAGAGATCAGCCCCCTAGTGGCACCAACTACCCCACCTCAACTGCGTGTTCTACCTCATGGCGTCCAACATTGTCAGCAGCATGTGGTACTTCCTCGCCGCCTCGGTGAGTGCCTCTTGTCGTGCCTTGCACTTGCCCTTTGCTCGCACCTCCCCACTGCTTCTGCCCCCTATCTCAATCCCCCGCCCATGCAGCACAGCGGCAGCTGGGGGTGCGGCAGAGGCGGCAGCATGAGCGCATATATCCCCATCCCTTACCTGTGTTCCACTCCCTCCTTGCACCCCGTCTGCACCCTTTCTGCACCCTCTCTCAACACCCGCTTCCCCACGTACACCCCATATATCCCCATCCCTTTCCTACACTCCCTCCCTACACCCCCTTTCCCATGCCCTCCTGGCAGCGCTTCACCACGTGTATGGCGGGCCAGTGTGCCACTCAGGGCGACGCCTGTCAGCCCGAGTACATGTACTGTGTCGACCAAAACGCCATCGCCTACCAGAACACAGCAGCAGAGGCCGTGTGGGCTACCGGGCCGGCCAGCGCGTGCCTGGTGGCAGACACACCGGGCAGTGACGCCCCGCCCTCCCCCATTGATTATGGCATCTTCACCAATGCTGTTCCGCTGGTGGTGGAAGGGGCGTTCCTCTCCAAGTACATCTACTCCTTCTTCTGGGGCTTCCAGGTGCGTGTCAGTTTTTGTTGCAAGGTCACCTCGTTCCTCTTTAACCATGTTCACCTCTTCTGGGCCTCACAGGTGCGTGCCTACCTTCCTCTGTCTTGGCATAAGTAACTCGCCCCCTTGTTATGTTTCCAGAAAATATGCTCTGATTCTCTCTCCTTTCCATCTCCTTCCCCTCTCTCCTCTCTCTATCACTATCCTCAAAGCAAGTGAACACCCTAGCAGGCAATCTGCAGCCGTCTGTTCTTGATTCGCCCCAGAAAATGACTCTTGTGTCTTTCTATCAGCCACCCACCCCCCTTTCCCACAGCAAGTGAGCACGCTAGCAGGTAACCTGGAGCCGTCAAGGTGGGATCCCGAGGTGCTCTTTGTCATCCCATCCCCCACCCTTCCTCCCCCCCCTCCCCTCCCCCCCCACACACAGCAAGTGAGCACGCTAGCAGGCAACCTGGAGCCGTCGAGGTGGGATCCCGAGGTGCTCTTTGTCATCCTCGTGGGCTGGAGCCGCTTTTGATTCCACTCAAAAACAGACTCATCCATCCCTTCCCCAATCTTCCCCTCCCCCCCACACACACACAGCAAGTGAGCACGCTAGCAGGCAACCTGGAGCCATCGAGGTGGGATCCCGAGGTGCTCTTTGTCATCCTCGTTATAGGGCTGGGGCTCGTGCTGCTCGCACTGCTTATTGGCAACATCTCCAACTTTCTGCAAGCTCTCAGTAGAAGGTAGGTGTAGTTCGTTGAAACATGTGTGTGTCTGTGTGTGTGTTTTTCTTTCTTTTGCCAGCAAGCATTTTGTGTCAGGAAGTTGTTCCTGTTTCGTATCTCCACTCCACTGCCTCGTCTATATTTCCATTCCACTCTGCTTCTCCTCTCCTCACGTAACGCTTTCGGCCTGTGTTTGGGAGTAAACTCAGAAGTCTCCCACTTACTCCTCCAATCCTTCTCCCCTGCCACCCCTCTCTTCCCCCGTTTACTGCCAGGACCTTTAGTACCAGCTGCAGCGTCGTGACTCCTCCCCTCCCCCTCCTTGCTCCCCCATCCTTGCTCCCCTCTCCCCCTCTCTCCTTCACCAGGTCCTTGGAGTACCAGTTGCAGCGCCATGGCATCGACCCGTGTTGCTCCTCCCCTTCCTTTTCCCACCTTCCTCTTTCGCCCCTCTTTCGCCCCTCTTCCCCCTCATTTCAATCCTTCATCAGGTCCTTTGAGTACCAGTTACAGCGCCATGACATTGACTCATGGATGGAGCGACGCAACCTGCCTCTCAGTCTTCAAAAGTATGCTCACTCACACACGCATCGTTCTCGCGCCCTCACATGCACATCCTGTCCTGGTATTCGATTTCCAGGATGTGAGCAACTTGATTTCCATGCGTGTTCCAGTTAGATTACTTTTGAGTCGACTAAAAAAACTCAAAAGTTTTGATTCTACTCAAGATGTGAGCAACTTGATTTCCATGCGTGTTTCAGTTAGAGCAGTTAACACAAGTTTTTTTCCACCTCCATTGCATCACCATTCCATTGCCCTTCTTCACCCCTCCCCACACCCCAACCCTGCTTCCCCCCTCCCCTCTCTCCCTGTCTGCCAGGCGAGTGCAGAAGCAGCAGCGGCTGCACTGGGTGGCGACGAGGGGGGTGGAGGAGGCGGAGGTGTTGGATAAGCTTTCAGATGACATTCAGACAGACGTGCGCCGCAGCCTGTGTCTCGAGCTGCTGCAATGCGTGAGTGGCGCAGTTTGTGAGTTCCCTGGTGCGAGTGGTGGTGCTGGAGTGTGCGAGTGGTGGTGCTGGAGTGTGCGAGTGGTGGTGCTGGAGTGTGCGAGTGGTGGTGCTGGAGTGTGCGAGTGGTGGTGCTGGAGTGTGCGAGTGGTGGTGCTGGAGTGTGCGAGTGGTGGTGCTGCAGTGTGTGAGTGGGGGTGCTGTAGTGTGTGAGTGTGGTACTTAGCCACTGCAACCCCCAAACTCCCACCCCACCCCCCAACCACCCCCTGCTCCAGTCTGCACTCTTTTTCGCCATGGAGCCGCAAGTTCTAGACGCCTTCTGTGAGAAGCTGCGGCAGCAGCTGTACATAGAGGGCACGGTCATCCTCAAGGAGGGCTACCCCGTGTGTCTTCTTCGCATGTGTGCCTCTTCTTTGTGCTGCGCGGCCAGCTCGAAAGCTACACCACCATCGGGGGGTTCTTGCACCTCTCTGGGGCCCCTCCCCCACTCCCCACGCCCCTCATCTCCCCATTCCCTCCCCGTCCCCTCCCCCCCGCCCCCCATCTTCCCCCTTTCCCCATCCCCCAGTCTGCACTCTTTTTCGCCATGGAGCCGCAAGTTCTAGACGCCTTCTGTGAGAAGCTGAGGCAGCAGCTGTACATAGAGGGCACCGTCATCCTCAAGGAGGGGTACCCCGTGTCGCGCCTATTCTTCGTGCTGCGCGGCCAGCTCGAGAGCTACACCACCATCGGGGGGCGCGCAGGCTTTGTGGACAGCGTGCTACTGGGGAAGGGGGACTTCCTGGGGGAGGAGCTTCTAGTCGAGTACCTTGAGAAGCTGTCGGACGGCAACAAGAGCCGGCGCTCAAGCACCCAGATTCGCTACCTGGGCCGATGTGAGTGGTACCCACTTAGGGTTGTGGTCCAGGGCTAGCATCTGGTATTTGGGCCGATGTGAGTGGTACCCACTTAGGGTTGTGGTCCAGGGCTAGCATCTGGTATTTGGGCCGATGTGAGTGGTACCCACTTAGGGTTGTGGTCCAGGGCTAGCATCTGGTATTTGGGCCGATGTGAGTGGTACCCACTTAGGGTTGTGGTCCAGGGCTAGCATCTGGTATTTGGGCCGATGTGAGTGGTACCCACTTAGGGTTGTAGTCCAGGGCTAGCATCTGGTATTTGGGCCGATGTGAGTGGTACCCACTTAGGGTTGTGGTCCAGGGCTAGCATCTGGTATTAGGGCCGATGTGAGTGGTACCCACTTAGGGTTGTGGTCCAGGGCTAGCATCTGGTATTTGGGCCGATGTGAGTGGTACCCACTTAGGGTTGTGGTCCAGGGCTAGCATCTGGTATTTGGGCCGATGTGAGTGGTACCCACTTAGGGTTGTGGTCCAGGGCTAGCATCTGGTATTTGGGCCGATGTGAGTGGTACCCACTTAGGGTTGTGGTCCAGGGCTAGCATCTGGTATTTGGGCCGATGTGAGTCTGACCTGATTTTGATCCGATCCGATCGGATCTGTCCTAATCTGGATCTGACCTGACCTGACCTCACCTGATCCGACCTGCAGCTGTGACCATGTTTCCTCTACTTTCCCCCATTCCTCATTCCCCATGCAGCGGTGACGATGGGTGCGAGTGCATCAGCGTCAGCAGCAGCGCTGGGCACGTTGGCGATCGACGTGCTGCCGACAGCGCAGCGCACGGTGCGGTGCATCGGGCCCGTGGAGGGGTACGAGCTCGAAGCCACCGATGTGGCTGTGGTGTGCCGGCAGTTCGCCCGCATGCTCGCCACCAGCAAGATCCAGGCGGCTCTCAAGTAGGTGTTTCGGTCTGCTCTGCTCTTCTCTGCTCGCCTCTGCTCTCCTCTGTACCCCCTCTCCTTTTCCCACCCCTCTCTGCCCGTCTTCTCTTGAGGCGCCTCAAAAGCCCTCTCTGCCCGTCTTCTCTTGAGGCGCCTCAAAAGCCCTCTCTGCCCGTCTTCTCTTGAGGCGCCTCAAAAGCCCTCTCTGCCCGTCTTCTCTTGAGGCGCCTCAAAAGCCCTCTCTGCCCGTCTTCTCTTGAGGCGCCTCAAAAGCCCTCTCTGCCCGTCTTCTCTTGAGGCGCCTCAAAAGCCCTCTCTGCCTGTCTTCTCTTGAGGCGCCTCAAAAGCCCTCTCTGCCCGTCTTCTCTTGAGGCGCCTCAAAAGCCCTCTCTGCCCGTCTTCTCTTGAGGCGCCTCAAAAGCCCTCTCTGCCCGTCTTCTCTTGAGGCGCCTCAAAAGCCCTCTCTGCCCGTCTTCTCTTGAGGCGCCTCAAAAGCCCTCTCTGCCCGTCTTCTCTTGAGGCGCCTCAAAAGCCCTCTCTGCCCGTCTTCTCTTGAGGCGCCTCAAAAGCCCTCTCTGCCCGTCTTCTCTTGAGGCGCCTCAAAAGCCCTCTCTGCCCGTCTTCTCTTGAGGCGCCTCAAAAGCCCTCTCTGCCCGTCTTCTCTTGAGGCGCCTCAAAAGCCCTCTCTGCCCGTCTTCTCTTGAGGCGCCTCAAAAGCCCTCTCTGCCCGTCTTCTCTTGAGGCGCCTCAAAAGCCCTCTCTGCCCGTCTTCTCTTGAGGCGCCTCAAAAGCCCTCTCTGCCCGTCTTCTCTTGAGGCGCCTCAAAAGCCCTCTCTGCCCGTCTTCTCTTGAGGCGCCTCAAAAGCCCTCTCTGCCCGTCTTCTCTTGAGGCGCCTCAAAAGCCCTCTCTGCCCGTCTTCTCTTGAGGCGACTCAAAAGCCCTCTCTGCCCGTCTTCTCTTGAGGCGCCTCAAAAGCCCTCTCTGCCCGTCTTCTCTTGAGGCGCCTCTAAAGCCCTCTCTGCCCGTCTTCTCTTGAGGCGCCTCAAAAGCCCTCTCTGCCCGTCTTCTCTTTAAGTTCTCTGCCCGTCTGCCCGTCTTCTCTCTTCTCTTTAAGTTCTCTGCCCGTCTTCTCTCTTCTCTTTAAGTTCTCTGCCCGTCTTCTCTCTTCTCTTTAAGTTCTCTGCCCGTCTTCTCTCTTCTCTTTAAGTTCTCTGCCCGTCTTCTCTCTTCTCTTTAAGTTCTCTGCCCGTCTTCTCTCTTCTCTTTAAGTTCTCTGCCCGTCTTCTCTCTTCTCTTTAAGTTCTCTGCCCGTCTTCTCTCTTCTCTTTAAGTTCTCTGCCCGTCTTCTCTCTTCTCTTTAAGTTCTCTGCCCGTCTTCTCTCTTCTCTTTAAGTTCTCTGCCCGTCTTCTCTCTTCTCTTTAAGTTCTCTGCCCGTCTTCTCTCTTCTCTTTAAGTTCTCTGCCCGTCTTCTCTCTTCTCTTTAAGTTCTCTGCCCGTCTTCTCTCTTCTCTTTAAGTTCTCTGCCCGTCTTCTCTCTTCTCTTTAAGTTCTCTGCCCGTCTTCTCTCTTCTCTTTAAGTTCTCTGCCCGTCTTCTCTCTTCTCTTTAAGTTCTCTGCCCGTCTTCTCTCTTCTCTTTAAGTTCTCTGCCCGTCTTCTCTCTTCTCTTTAAGTTCTCTGCCCGTCTTCTCTCTTCTCTTTAAGTTCTCTGCCCGTCTTCTCTCTTCTCTTTAAGTTCTCTGCCCGTCTTCTCTCTTCTCTTTAAGTTCTCTGCCCGTCTTCTCTCTTCTCTTTAAGTTCTCTGCCCGTCTTCTCTCTTCTCTTTAAGTTCTCTGCCCGTCTTCTCTCTTCTCTTTAAGTTCTCTGCCCGTCTTCTCTCTTCTCTTTAAGTTCTCTGCCCGTCTTCTCTCTTCTCTTTAAGTTCCTGTCCGTCCCCACCCTTCCGCTCACCCGTTTCTCTTCCCGCCCTCCCCGCCCCCCCCAGTGAGTGCTGTCACAACCGGCGCACACACGCTGCCAGAACCATCCAGCTTGCATGGAGGCGGCACCTCAGAAAGAAATACGGCCTCACCATTCAGCAGGTGAGACTGTGGATTGACGAGTGTTGGGCAGGTGAGACATCTGGATTCTGGACTGGCTACTGGCCCAGTGGTTGGATGCCATTGAAAGTATGAGAAATTTTAACCATCTTTAGTGTTACTACTCTGTAGTACCTGCACAGCCTATAACTGCACACGCCCATCCTCGTTATAACCACCCCTCCTACAGGTTATGAGTGCAGTGAATCAGAACCGCATGCAGCTGGTGGTGCGCAAGGCTCTGGAGCTGCAGGTTGGGGGGGGCAGTGCACGCAGAGACAGCGAAGCTGGCGATTCAAGAAACAACAGCAGGCGGATGTGAGGGCAGCCCGAGGAGGTGTGAGAGCAGCAGGAGTAGGTGTGAGGGCAGGGAAATGTGAGGCGGTTTTTGAGGCGCCTCAAACGGTGCTGGAGGTGCGAGGGGGGAAGGGGAGGGGGGTGGGCGGGGCAACGCACGCAGAGACAGCGTTGCAGGGGATTCAAGAAAGGGCAGCAGGCAGACGTGCGGGGTAGATGTGAGGGTGGGAGCCTGGGAGGATGAGGTAAAGAAGTCCTTGGCATTGGCTATGTGTACCTAGTTTCAGAGCGGCAGGAGGCTTGTTCTAGCTCTTGTTGTTGCTTGTCAATGGGCTCAGAACAATGCATACCAGCAATTAGGCTGTAAAGTCAATGTGGAAAGGAAGCACCTACCAACTCAATGCTGCGTCCATGTGGCAGGGTGTTCTTGAGAACTTTCAAGAACATCCTGCATGTGGGAAGCACGTGCTCAATGCTGCATCCATGTGGTGGGATGGGAATTGTCGTCATTATTATCATTGTGGCACTATTGTGATGCACTTCTGAAGGTAGATGGATCCAGGAGGTGCAAGCAGACATATTACAGTGAAAGGTGTTGGAGAATGGGAATGCTTTGCCTACTTTGCTTTCTTCAGCAACACTTGTGATTTTAGCTTTTGAGGGTCAGGCAAGTGAAGAGGCAGAAGAAGCAGCAACCCCTGCAACTTAGTAACCCCTGCAAGCATGTCATGGCGAATCACTTCTGAGTCGACCCATAGTCACCTTGTCGCACCACTGTCAAGTGGGGGTACCGTACTGCCAAGCACTGCTTGCAGGCACGCCCTGGCGAAATCGTCGTACAGCTGGAGGCACCCAAAGGCCATCTGGACAGGTGCGAGACAAAGAGGGCAGGAAGGGAGAGCAAGGGAGAGGAGGGGGGCTGGTAACTCTTGAGTCGACTAAAAAAAGGCATGCCCTGGCGAAATCGTCGTGCAGCTGGAGGCACCCTATGGCCGTCTGGACAGGTGCGAGACAGAGAGGAAAGACGGGACGGGAGAAACGGGAGTTAAGAAAGGCTTAAACTAAAAGGAAGGAGAAAGGACAGAGGAGTGAAAGCAAGGGAAGGAGAGATGGACAAGAAACGGAGACATGTTCTTCGGGGTAAGAACCGGGAGAGGGGGGTGGGGTGCGGCAAGAAACAGATAGGCAAAAACAGGAGTGGTCAGCATGTTCACTGCTCATCTCAGCACTCACCCCTTTGGTCTGCTCGTCACCACTCTCCTCCGCCAGTCTCCCCAACCACACTGCCATCACCCGCAGCATCCCTGACAACCCCACGCCCGCACCCCCAGCACCACCACCCCCAGGACCAGCAGCAACAGCAGCAATAGCGCCAAAGCCAATGGTTGTGGTAGCTCCAGAAGAAACAGAAGCAGAGGCAGCGGCGGAGGAAAGGAGAAGCCCTTGGGCTGCGACGGCAGCAGGGGGCAGCGAGAGGAGCAGTGAGGCTGCAGCGAAGATGGCACAGCGCTGCACGTAGGGCTCTGGATGCTGGGCGATGGGACTGCAGGGGTGGGGAAGAGGGCAGAGGGTACGGATTGGGGGAGAAGGAACAAGGGGAAAGAGGGACGAAGAATGCAATAGAGTGGTTGCATTTTAAACGCTATGCTTGAGGCTCCAGCGAAAATGGCACAGCGTTGCATGCAGGATGCCTCCCTAGGATGGCATGTCATCCAATAGGGTTTTGATTGTTTTTTGCCCGCCGGTCAGGTCTGCGGTGGTCGACGGTCCGTCGACCCACCGTCGACCCCCAATCCATTGAGATGTTCCAGCTGAGCTGGTTTTTGAGAATTCTCAAAAACCCCCGATCCGTTTGAGATATTCCAGCAGAGCTGCTGCAAGAGGGCAGGCGAGGGGACGAGGAGGCGGACGCATTTCCCCAGCAGCAGCAGCAGCAGCAGCAGCACGCGGGCGAGAACAACAAAGTTCCGCCCCACCCAGTCCACCCCGTGGCTCTGCCTGTCTGCCTGCCTGTTGCTCCACATCACCACCTTGCTCTGACCAGCCAGCCGCTCCAAGCAAGGCCAACCTTCACGCCACTCACCTGGCGTTGATGAATTCTAACAGTGCAGCCGCAAGGGGGAAGAGTGCGGGTGAAGGAACGAGCAGGCGGAGGCACTTCCCCAGCAGCAGCAGCACGCGCGCGAGAACCACAAAGTCCCGCCCCACACAGTCCACCCCATGGCTCTGCCTGTCTGTTGCACACACCCGCATCACCACATTGCACAGAGTCGCCACACACTGATCACAGGCACACACCATCCAAGCCCAACCTCAAAAGCCCTCACCTTGCGTTGAGGAATTCGAGAAGAGCAGCGGCGAGGGGGAGCAGAGCAGGTGAAGGGGCGAGGAGGCGCAGGCACTTCCCGAGAAGCAGCAGCACGCGCGCGAGAACAACAAAGTCCCTCCCCACCCAGTCCACCCCGTGGCTCTGCCTGTCGTACGCTCGCATCAGCGGCAGCATGAACCCCGCCGCCACGTCAGCAAATCGCACGCGTGGAGGGGTACACGTGGACACATCGCGCTGACTGTGCAGCTGCTGGTTCTGACCGCTGCTTCCTTGAAGCTTCTCTCTTGCAGATTCGATTGTTTTAGAGGTTCGTTTCTCCTGCCCGAGGATGCGGTCACCAGGGCGCCGGGGCAGGTCTCTTGTGAAACTTTTTGTCCAGCTGCCCGCGAGCCCAGTCAGACCGAACCCTCCTAAATCTGCTGCTGCTAAGATTGCCTTCGCCATCTCGGGCTGCCCGAGATCTCCCGGCATAATCCCGGGCAGCTGAACCCATTTACCAGCACCGGGAGGGGAAGGGGAGAGGGAGTGTGCGGGATGATCCCAAGGTGTCGGCCCAGTGTGAATCTCCACTATCAAGGGAGTGTGTGAACGAGAGGAGGAAAGCGAGGAGGAAGAGAGTGGTTGAGCGAGTGTGGCAGCAGCAGAAGAAGAAGAGGAGGAAGGGGAGGCGGAGGAGGAGTAGGAGGCGAGTTCAATAGCAGCCGCTTCGAGGACGTCCAGGATGAGAAGGCGCTGACTCAGGTCCACGTGGGCAGAAAACACCTCCCCCAGAAGCACCTCGAGAGATGCCACCGGGGAAAAGACAACCAGAGCCACCAGCGCTGCTCTCCGCCTCTCCTCCGCTCCCATTGCTCTCTGCCCTCCTTCCCTTTCCCCTCCGCCTTGCATGCTGCCTCCCTTCCGTTGCTTTGCCCCTCTTTCTTCTCCTCTGCCCTTCTTATTACCGAAAGAGCTCCACTCTTCTACCTCACACTCCGCTACCTCCCCTTCTCCCCCCTCCTCACTCCCACTCCCAATCTCCTCCTCTCCCTCGTCCCCTGCCTCCCCCTCCCCATCTTCCCCTTTCAGGAGGAACTGGCATTGCATGTGGATAAGGGAGCGTGCCAGCTCAGCTGCCACGTCATCCAGCTCGTCCGGTTGGCAGCGGATCATTGGTTCAAGGGACAGAAGCGCTTGCTCCATCTGTTAATGAATGCAGAAGCAAAACAAGACAAAATTTGAGTTCTTTCGTCATAACGCTTCGGTAAAGCAGTAGCAACACAGAAGGTGGCGACAAGAGAGGGAGAACCGGAAGCAAGAGAGAGGGAGCAAGAGAGAGGGAGCAAGAGAGAGGGAGCAAGAGAGGGAGCAGCAATGTTTCGAAGTAGACAAAATCCCTAGCAGCACTCACCGCACTGACGTCATCTGCCTTCCTCAGGTCTGCCGCACTGTAGCGCAGCTGCATGGGTGCCGCCATTCCACCCCCCTCCCCACTCATGCCCACACCCACTCCCATGCCCACTCCCATGCCCACTCCCATGCCCATGCCCGCACTCCTCTCATCCTCCTCGTCCTCGTCTGACTCCTCATCACTCTCCTCTTCCTCCTCATCCCAGTCCTCCTCACTCCACTCTTCCTCACTCTCCTCCTCTCTCCCTTCCTCACTCCCTTCCTCACTCTCTTCATCCTCCTCATCCAGCTCCCCCTCTCTTTTTACCTCCTCCACTTCCCTATTCTCGCCTCCCCTACCATCTCTACCAGCCTCCTTCGCCCCTTCCCCTCCCTTTTTCTCCTCCTGACACTCCTGCCCCACCACCCCCCCAATGTCCCATCCACGTGCAAAATCAAGAGCAGCAGCAATGGCCTCCTCTTTAGTCAACTCAACAGCAGCAGCTGCACTCCCCCCACTTCCTCTCCCTCCACTTTTCCCCTCCTCCTCATCGCCTACCCCTCGCTCGTATGCAAACTCTCCAAACAGCATGGGGGGGCGGCCAGGGTGAACGGCCACAGAGAAGGCAAAGGCAAGGCGCTGACCCATCAGGCGAACCAGAGGCAGAGGGCTTTCCAACCGCACTGCACATCAGCATCAGCAACAGCATCAGCATCAGCATCAGCATCAGCATCACCGCAGAGACAGAGGCAAAACAACGGGTGAGAATTGAGTCGCTTTTGCCTCTGCTGTTGCTTGGCATTGTGGGACGGTGGGCATGGAAGCAAGTGCACGATACGTATTAAGCTGGTCTGTGAAAACAAAGGGCTGCACTCTTCAAATTTCTAGTAGCCAAAACAGTATCATACGATACAACACACTTACTAGACGCCATCTGAAAGTAAGGCACTCACTGGATACGCCCTTGAGAAGCAACGTGAGCTGCGATGGGTGTAGGCGAAGGGGCGGGTGGGAGTGACGTGCGGAGGATGCAGACGGTGCTGCTTGTGAGTGGCGAGGGAGGGAGAGGAGGAATCCTGCTGCTGCTGTCACATCTGCCAGGAGGACAGGAACGGGAAGAGGAAGGGAGCCCGAATCAGAGGCAAGGGGAGGAGAATGGAGAAAGGGAAAGGAAAACAGGATCGCAGATGAAAAAACGACAAGTGGTTACGCAGATCAGATATTTTCTTATTCTTGCTGACTCACAGATCTGCTTCTCCATGGATGCTGATTGGACGATAGCCGCTGAGCTCCACAGGCGCAGCACATGCTCTAGTGCCACGTGGCACAGCCCCATTGGCTCGAGTGCAGCGGAATCGTCAGCAGAGGGTGACGAGGAGGAGGAAGAGAGAAGGGTGACAATCCAAGGCAGGCAGGGGAGGGGAAGAGGGGAGCAAGTGAGGAGGTGAGACGTGAACAGGAACCTGCGATGATTCATTAAGAAGGGGGAGGAGGGACGTGAAAGAAGGAGTGTTTTGAGACGTCTGCTTTTGAGTCGACTCAAAAGGAGGGACGTGAAAGAAGCAGTGTTTTGAGACGTCTCAAAACACTCCTTCTTTCAGGTGAGAGGTGAACAGGAACCTGCGATGATTCATTAAGAAGGGGGAGGAGGGAGAAGAGAGGAAGGGGGAGGAGGGGGACTGGAAATTTACAATTAAACTAGTAAGGAATCGTCCGTAAACAAAAAACGATATATTTGAGAATAATTGGCGAGAAGTACTTGGCTTTTGTGGATCTCGCAAGGCAGAAAATCAGCAATGCAGGGGTTGGCATCTGTGTGTGCATAATTCATCAGCAACTCACACTGCTTGGGGATGTCGCTGATGCAGCAGGCTCTGAAACAGCAGCTGCAACACTGTTTCCGGCACGCTGCTGCCCGCGGTGCCGGTGCTGCTACTGCTGATGGTTGTGTTGGTGGTAGTGCCGCTGCTGTGGCTCGAGGTGCCAAGAGCAGCAGAGAGGGCAGCGAGGTGGGAAAGGAGGGCCTCGGTGAGCTGGTGGAGGGGGAAGGCGTCAGCAGCAGCGAGGGAGGCAATGATGGTGGAGTAGAGAGAGGCGAGATGCGGGAAGGAGGAGCTGCTGTGGCACGTGGTAGTGGGTTTGTTGCCACTGCTGCTGCTGTTAGTACTGCTGGTGCTATTGGTACAGGTGGTGCTGTTGGTACTGGTGGTGCGGTTGGTACTGGTGGTGCTGCTGTTGCTGCTGCTGGTGTGTGTTGGCGCTGACATGGCGTGTGCCAGCTGTCGGATGACTGTGTGGATGAGCTCGGATGCCACCGTTGCTGCCGGAGGGGTGCAATAAGGCAAGCAGAGAGGGAGAAGGGAATAGAAGGGAAGAGAAGAGAAGAGAAGAGAAGAGAAGAGAAGGAAGGAAAGATAAGGGAAGAGAAGGGAAGAGAAGGGAAGAGAAGGAAGGAAAGAGAAGGGAAGAGAAGGGAAGAGAAGGAAAGAGAAGGGAAGAGAAGGGAAGAGAAGGAAAGAGAAGGAAAGAGAAGGAAAGAGACAGGAAGAGAAGGGAAGAGAAGGGAAGAGAAGGAAAGAGAAGGGAAGAGAAGGGAAGAGAAGGAAAGAGAAGGGAAGAGAAGGGAAGAGTGATTTTGAGACGTCACAAAAACACTCTTCTTTCACGTGCCACCGTTGCTGCGGGAGGGTGCCACCGTTGCAGTAAGGCAAGCAGAGAGGGGGAAGGGAAGAGAATAGAGAGACGGAAGAGGAGGGGGGAGAAAAGGGTTGAGAAGCGGAGGGAGGGAGAGAACTTGCAAGGGGGATCGGAACCGACTGAGTCGGGCAATTTAGGGTGAGGATAGAACCCCTCCCTCAGTCACATGCGTGCAACCACCAAAGCTCACTCCACCCAACCACACCTCACCCCACCACACCATTCCCTGCCTCACCCCACCACACCATTCCCCGCCTCATCCCACCACACCATTCCCCGCCTCATCCCACCACCCCTCATCGTGCCCACGTGTAACATGCTCCTTTTGCCACTCACCCGTATGCCCCCTGCGGCACAGCCTGGCCACCAGCTACTCTACCCCCCCACGCCTCACCACGCCTCACCACGCCTCACCACGCCTCACCCCTCCACTCACGCGCATGCCCCCTGCGGCACAGCCAAACCACTGCTGCTGCTGCTGCCACTCACGCCTCTGCCACTGCGACTCACCCACATACCCACCCCCCCACCACTCACCCGCATGCCCCCTGCGGCACAGCCTGGCCACCAGCTGCCCTACGAACGCCTCTGGGGAGACGCTTGTTGGTTGGGAGGGGGGCGAGACGGGAGGTGGTGAGGAGGAGGAGCGAGAAGCAGCGATGGTGGCAGTGGTGGTGAGAGATCGGCGGATGAGAGACGCGACGAAGTGACTGGTGGGGCATGGGGGAAGTGGGGTCGGGGCATTGGGATGGAACGAGAATCAGAGCAAGAGAAGCAATCAGCTTGGCTCACGTCACGCTGGCAAACACAATGGACAAGTGGTGAACCTTTGCGGGTGGTGCATGTGTGGGCGACTGCTTTTGAGGCGCGTCAACAGGGAGAGCAAGTGCATTGAGAAGCGAGGGAGATGAGGAGCAGACAGAGAGAAAGCGTGGGTGCTTTGTATTGCCGAAGAGAAAGAGCGTGAGAAGAGAGAGAGGCATGAGAGACTAAAGAGATTAAAACGCAAACATGTTTCGGCTGACTGGGACAGGCCCCACGTCAAACCTTCATCAGTGCTAGCGGAAATGAAGAAGAGAGTGAAAACAAAGCATTTAGGCAAACACTACGTTTCGGAAACCAAAATTCAAGGCTGGAGCAACCGTGGCTGGAAATCCGGTCAGCCAATCCTGGTCCACCTAGAGAAGTCCAAGTGGTCCAAGTCTTCACTCCTCGGGGCGTGTCGTTGAAACTGCACTCCTCGCCAGCTGTAACTTCGGGAGCCTCGCGCGAACGAGTAACTTTTGCAAGCTACACCCAGCCTTCCAAGCAACAAAGACTCTATCAATATAAAAACCGCGTGTAAGTAGACGACTTTTGAGACGTCTCAAAAGAGTTTTATCAACGACAGAACTCTATCCCCTCTACACGCGGACCCCTAGCTCTGAAGACGACCTACACACCTGTGTCGGCTCGCCTCGGGCTAAGGGTAGTTTTGAGACGTCTCAAAAGGATGGAAGGGTTCGGACGTGCTTTTGAGACGTCTCAAAAGTCAGACATGCTCTTGAGACGTCTCAAAAGTCAGACATGCTCTTGAGACGTCTCAAAAGTGAGACACACGTACGGGGCACGCGGGGCAGTGAGGAAGAGGGTAGGAAGGGGAGCACACGTGCGGGGCACGCGGGGCAGTGAGGAAGAGGGTAGGAAGGGGAGCACACGTACGGGGCACGCGGGGCAGTGAGGAAGAGGGTAGGAAGGGGAGCACACGTATGGGGCACGCGGGGCAGTGAGGAAGAGGGTAGGAAGGAGAGCACACGTACGGGGCACGCAGGGAAGAAGGAGCATGCGGTGACGCCCTATCCGTGACCGATGCCAGCTGGGACACCACTCTTTCCACGCAGTACTCTCCTCTCCACCCTGCTGCTGACGTGGCTGACGCTGCTGCTGACGTGGCGGAAGCTGCTGATGTGCACCCACTTGATTCCAGGTGGACCAAGAATCGGTGCAATCCCCCTGACTGCATGATCCCTGCTCCAGTAACATTTGGACACGTGTCAGGGGTAGAAGATGCAGGCGTGCCCTCTAACCCGCCTGGCCGGACTGCTTGCGCTGTGGGGCCGTCAGGCGAGCCAAAGATTGTGAGGAGGAGTAGCCTGGGCGCATGGGGCCGCATGGGAGGGAGGGAGGAAAAAAGAGTCCGTTCTTAGAGATCTCAACAGAATATGCTAGAGGAGGAAAAGCGTGGATGCTCGTGCAAGGAGGGAGGGAGGGAGGGATTAGATTGGATTGGATTGGATGGGATTGGATTGGATTGGATTGGATTGGATTGGATGGGACTGCATTGGACGTAGATTACACTCAAGTGGTAATTGCCTGCTTGTTTCAAGCACATTCCTACCTCTCAGCCTCCTTGCGTGCAACGCTGCTCCTTTTCGCCTGCGCCACCCTCCCACACACCCCTCCACCACCACCATCAGAGGTAGAAGCACCGCCACTGATGCTAACATCCTTTCCCTCACTCCCCTCCGCATCTTTTCCCCACAATTCTCTCCCCCCATCTTCCCCCCCAAGCAACTCCACGTCCGTGGAAGCAGCGTAGGCGGAGGGGGAGGCGGAGGCGGAGAGGAGGGGGAGGAGGGCGTCTAGCGCGGGGGGGAGAGGGGCGGAGAGGAAGAGCGGGTCGAGCAGGGCGCGGCGGGCGGAAGGGGGAAGCACTGGCGCCGCTCCTGGAAGAAGGAGGGGACATGGGAGGAAAGGGGGAAGGGGAGGGGGAGGGGAAGGAGGGGAGGGGGAAGGGGAGGGGGGGGGAAGCGGGGGGGAATGGAAAAGTGATGCGGATGCAGTGAGAGGGAGAGGAAACGAGGGGGCTATTGTCGTACGGTCAGAGCAGAAGCAGATGCAAGAGCGGCGAGACAGCGGAGAAAACGAGAGAGAGAAAAACGGAGAGGAGGACGCAGAATAGGAAGCGGGGGGGACTATTGTCGTACGGACGGAACAGGAGCAGCTGCGAGAGCGCCGCGAGGTGGTCCGATAGTAGCACGCGTAGAGGTGACAATATCGGTGCCCTCGCTTCTGTCACGGCGGGGTCTCTCCCGCCCGTGGAGAACGCTTCATATCCGATTCCGTCAATCGCGTTGCTCGCACGATCCACTACAGCCGATGCTACAGCCGACGCTCCAGCGCGTACGTTTGGTGCCAGCAAAGCGGCGACCGCTGTTTCAACGGCTGCCACGTCAGCAGCCGCTTCTAGACTCCGTTCCAATCGCGTAAGGAGGCGAATGGCTTCCTCCTCGTCGTCCAATCGCTGCTCTTGCTGAGATTTAAAGGAATCAACGGGATCTGATCGACAACTACTCATTGAGGCGATGTCGTCCAGGCGAGTCGCCCTACGGGTCGCCATCTCATGTTTCGTCATAAGAGTCGCCATCAAGTCCCAACTCGACGAGTTTGTATTTTTTTCCCCGCGTAGAAGCGACCTCGGTATCATGTACTGCTTTAGGGGTAAATGTTCCTGGTTTTACCTTGTTATAATCAGATGAAGTGATAACTCATGGAAGCTTTACCTAAGCTATTATGTACACTCATTACAGTGTGCTGGTTTTCCACGATAAAAAATACACAGCCCTGTCCGATTCATCCAAAAAAAAAAAAAAAAAAAACTTTTGATGAGGGCATGTTCCTACAGCCCTGATAATAAATTACATGACCATTTTCATTGTAATACAATCGGCCAGTCTCATCCCTCTTCTCGCTTCCCAGACTCATCATCCCTAAAGTACTTCTCCTGAACATCCCCCAATGTGGAAAGGTAATTCATGAGGCCAAATAAACACCAGCGCCGATCACCATGGGGACAAGATGGTCGTTGTCATTGTCATTGTCACACAAACGAGGTTGCACACACGAAGGATTGTTTGAAAAGGTACAGGTTAAGGAAGCTTGAAATGCAAGTTGGAAGGGAAGCTAGAAGAGTACCGGTATTTTGAAAGGAAGCAAGATGTGGTTAGGCAGATAGAGGAATGGGTGAGCCAACTTGAGCAAAAGAGACAGCGGATTTCAAAAGGGCGGGAATCAGAAGACGAAGACAGCAGGGAAGGGAGGAAAACCAAAACTGGGAGGCTTTTGCAAGAGTATGGTACATTGGAAGTGGGGAGAAGCATGGAAGGCAAAAAACGTGCGCAAGAGGAGAAGGGAGAGAAAGAGTGAGTGCGAGAGGTAAGAGTGTGTGCGTGTGAGTGAGGGGGATATCTCTCGTCCTCCCACTGCATGGAGCGTGCGGCAATCTTGGAGTACTCAGCAGCGCTCGCCTCTATCCCTGCAAACACATAGCCGTTCGCCCTGTCGATTGTGCGGACCAGATTCGATACGCTCTCCTTGTCCTGGCAGGCAGGCAGGGCGGGCAGAGTGGACGGAAGGGAGAGTGCGTGAGTGCGAGAGGCAAGAGTGTGTGTGTGCATGTGAGTGAGTGTGAGTGAGTGCGTGTGAGTGAGGGGGATATCTCTCCTCCTCCCACTGCAGGGAGCGGATGGCAATCTTGGAATATTCGGCAGCGCTCGCCTCTATCCCCACAAACACATAGCTGTTCGCCCTGTCGATTGTGCGGATCAGATTCGACACACTCTCCTTGTCCTGCCAGGCAAGCAGGGGCGCCAGCAGCAGCAAGCAGTGAAATGCCGCCAGGAGAGATTGGGGTGAGTGGAGCGAGTGGGGCGAGTGGGGCGTTGGGGAGAGTAAGGTGTGTGGGGGTGAGCAATGTGGGCCATGTGAGTGAGTGAGTGAGTGGGGGCGAGGAAATGGTCAGCCCACCTGAATGTTGAGGGTTTCAAACGAGACGAGCCCGAAATCATCCACCACTTCACACACTGCTGATGTCAGCTTGCTGCCATGTGCGTTGGGAGCGAGGGGGCGAGGGGGACAGGGGAAGGGGAAGAAGAGAGCGGGGGAGGGAGGAGGTGGTGGAAGGGTGTATGGTTTTGGGGGAAAAGCAGGAATGGCACCAGGGAGAAGTGGCAGCTTCAAACCAAACAGAAGAACATCGTTCAGGCTTTATCAGCTGGCCTGAAGACGCGGGACAGTGGAATGGAAAGGAACGAGAGTGGAGTAATGCGCGTGGCGAATGGAATGTGCACTCACGCATATCGCTTGTTGCGTGGATCGCTCTCGAGATGCTCCTGCAGGAACGAGAGGTCCTGCACGTCTGTGTAGAAGTCAAGGTTGAATGCTGAAGGGAGCGGGGGGGGAAAGAGAGAGTGAAAGATTCAGTCAGAAGTAAGCTCAGGTACCTGCTCTGCTGCAGGAACGAGAGGTCCTGCACGTCTGTGTAAAAGTCGAGGTTGAATGCTGGGGGAGGAAGGGTGTGGAGAGGGGGAGTGGTGGGAGTGGGCAAGAGGGGGGCGGGGAAAGTCGAGAAGTCGCCTCAGACGCCTGCTCTGCTGCAAGAACAAGAGTTCCCGCACATCCATGTAGCAGAGCAACCCAGATTGTTTTCGAGACGTCTCAAAAAATTCCATTATCAAGAAGGAGATGGGGAGCGGAAGAGGCCGAAGAGATCCACTCACCCAGGGGCCCATATGCCTCGACGAGGTCTATCTTTGAGAGCACGTTGACGTGTGGCAGCTCGAAATGTAACATCGCCTGCCCACATAGCAAACAAGGCAGACGAAACCCAGAGAAAAGTTACGGGAAATTGAAAACCAAAACTGAATAAAGGAGAAGCTGGAAGAAGAAGAAGAAGAAAACCGACAGAGCTTGAGGGAAGCGCCTGTGGAGACCCCTTGCAGGACGCGAAGCCTTGTGTCACCCTTTTACCTGCAGCGACAGCAGCAGCGCCTTGTGTCACCCTTTTACCTGCAGCGACAGCAGCAGCGCCGCCACGTACTTGTGTGCCTCGCTGCACAGATGTGCATCCACCAGATGCACTGCCGCTAGCTGGTGTGCGTGGTGGGTGGGGAGAGCAGCAGTGAATATGAGTGAGGGCAGGGACAGGAGAGAGCAGTGCTCCTCGCTGCACAGATGCGCATCCACCAGATGCACTGCCGCTAGCTGGTGTGGACATGGGCACGGGTGGGAGGGGAGAGGTGGGTCGGGCCTTGGCAGGTCGGAGGGGGATAGGGACAGGAGAGAGCAATGTGCCTCGCTGCACAGATGCGCATGCACCAGATGCACAGCCGCTAGCTGGTGTGCGTGGTGGAAAGGGGGGGGGGGGTGGGGGGGGGAGAAGAGGGGCATGTTACGGATTGCCCGATGGAGGGGGGAGCAGTGTGCAGTGTGCCGCGCTGCACAGATGCGCATTCAAAGACGCACGGCCGCTAGCTGGAGTGCATGGCGGGGGAGGGGAGAGCAGCAGTGAATATGAGTGAGGGCAGGGACAGGAGAGAGCAATGTGCCTCGCTGCACAGATGCGCATTCACTAGACGCACGGCCGCTAGCTGGAGTGCATGGTGGGCGGGGAGGGTGGCAGATCTGAATCCCTCACCTGCTAGGCTCTCTGATACTCATCCACTGCACTCACTCTGTAGTGCACTTGTCGGTGAGGCGCTTGATGATGCTCTGAGCGCTGGCGTGCAGAGCCGAGCAGAGTGGGGAGGAGCTGACTTCTATGCATGGATGGATAGATGCCACCAGACTCACTCTGTAGCTCGTGTTTACGGTGAGTGTGAATGCAATGACATCTGATCGTGCCAGTGGTCTAGTGGTAGAATAGCACCCTGCCATGTGCCCGGTGCAGACCCGGGTTCGATTCCCGGCTGGCACAAGGCCTGTTGTGGAACCTTTTGGACTAGCAGTTTTGCAGTCAGCTTCGTCTAAAAGGACGTCCTAGATCTGTTCCTCCAACATTTTTGTTCTACAGTCCACTCAGCTCAACAGCTGCCTGCCTGCCTGCCTGACACACCACCCATACACCAGACTCACTCTGTAGTGCATCTTGTCGGTGAGGCGCTTGATGATGCTCTGAGCACTGCCGTGCAGAGTGAATAGACTGCAGGGAGAATTTCGAGGCGCCTTATGAGCCATGCGTGTGAATGGATATATCTGATACCCCACCCCATTGACCACCACACTCACTCTGTAGTGCATCTTGTCAGTGAGGCGCTTGATGATGCTCTGCGCGCTGGCGTGCAGAGTGAATAGCTCCACTTGCCCGGGGAAGTCGAAGAGGAAATAGTGGTCTGCTTGTAACGGGGATGAGGAGGGGGCAGAGGGTGGGTGAAACGGGACGGTTTTGAGTAGAAACTGAGTAGTAGAACTATCTCAAGGCAGGGTGAAAGCAGAAGCACCAGCAAATGCTGGCATAAGAGCAAACAAACAAGCAAGCGAACAAGCAAGCACAGCCATTCAGGTCGAACTGGGCAGTTGAGCCACCAAGGCAGCAGAGTAGGACTGACCCTTTTCAAGAGGCTTCAGCTTGCTCTGCAGCCAGTCGAAGTTCTTGTCGATGTAGTCCATGCAGTACACAAGACCTGCATGCAGGATGAGGGAGGAGTGAGGAAGAAGGAAAAGGGGGAGGATGCGAGGAAATGAGAGCCTTGAAACGTCTCAAAAATGGCTTCAGTTTGCTCTGCAGCCAGTCCAAGTTCTTGTCTATGTAGTCCATGCAGTACACGAGACCTGGGGATGGGAGGGGAGGGACGAGGTAAGGGGGGGAGATGAGAATCTCCAAACGTCTCAAAAGTCAAGGAGCTTCAGCTTGCTCTGCAGCCAGTCGAAGTTCTTGTATATGTAGTCCATGCAGTACACGAGACCTGCATGTAGGAAAACCAATATACATATGTTTATCTATATACATAGATATATATGCATAGACAATAAAAATTTGAACAACCTCTTACTCCTTAGCAGCCCTCTCCGCTTGTCAGCTCACCACCATTCGGCCCAAGCCCGTGTTGCATCGAGTAAATAAAAAATGAATAAACGAAACATCCACACTCCCGCGCCCCACTCCCAGCCCTCTCCTCTCCGCCTCTCACCTCACCTCCGTTGGGCCCCAGTCCGTGCTGCCCCATCACGTCCTCCAGGCGAACCAGCTCCTCCACGTTCACTGCACACTCGTACCTGCGCGGTCAGGGAGTGCAGCAGCGGGGGCGGGGAAGGAAAGTGTGGAGGAAAGAGGGGACGAGGGAAGGGGGGAGTTTGTGTTTGTGTTAGACACGCCTCAGCAACAGCCCGTGCTGCCCCATCACATCCTCCAGGCGAACCAGCTCGTCCACGTTCACTGCACACTCATACCTGCGCGGTCAGGGGGGCAAGGCAGGGGTGGAGGAACGGGGAAAGGGAGGGGAAGGGCGAGGGTTGAAAAGGGGAAGGGCGAGGATTGAAAAGGGGAAGGGCGAGGATTGAAAAGGGGAAGGGCGAGGATTGAAAAGGGGAAGGGGGTGGAGTTGAGCCGCACAAAGACCCCGT